ACATTTCACGCACCTCGGCTGGAAGTAACAAGTTTTCCGAAGAATAGTGCCACTTCACTTTTATAGAGGCAAGCGGGAAAGTACGTCGTTATCAACATGGAAGCTTAGTTTAACAGAAGGGTTTCTATTTCGGAAATTTTGAGTTTAACTTTCGAATAAGCTACGTCTTAAGCGTTATGCAAAGGATGAGAAGGGAAAATATTCAAATTAAAAAATGATAATGGGTCTAATGCAGGGATTCTCAACCGGTGGTACGCGTACCATTAATGGTACGCAAGAGAAAAATAGGTGGTGCGCAAAAAAAGCAAAATATTTTTAACTGTTATATTCAAAAATTAAAACCCCAATATCGTAATTGAGTTTTTTCTCTAACACTCGTAAATGTTTGCGATTTTAGCTTTGATCAGGAGTGATGGTGGTAGTAGTACTTTAGTGGTGGTACTAAAGGTTTTCAATTTTTGTTTAGGTGGTACGCGTTAGTCAAAAGGTTGAGAACCGCTCGTCTAATGCAAAATTAATAGTTTGCTTTCATATTTTTATCTCTCTCTATATATAATTTGTGTATTTATAAACATATACAGATGGAGGACGAAATTATGCGAACACCTTAGAAAAATTATGACGTATTTCATACCTGTAGTACAGCCGCGCCACCTGCAACAGAAGTCTGCCCACCTAGTGAGCGTGAAGAGGAAGGTATCAGTCTCTTAACAGCAGTCACCTGCGTTGCATACTTCGATCAAATTGTCTGTGAGAAGTTGAAATGTCAGACCTGTGAGAGTTCCAAAGAGGAATGATAGTTGGAGCGCGTCTTAGTGGAGCATCGGTTACGGAATCAGCAAACCTTGTGAGGTGTGCAAGGAGTATGGTATCAACCGTTATGACAGCGTACACGAAAGAAGATAAGACGACGTCTTCAAAGCACAACAGTGGCCGAATGTCAAAGCTGGCTGATAGGGATAGACGGGTCTTGAAGCGCATATTAGCCCGAAAGCACAAGCTATCGTTATCCGAGATAACATCCGAAATGAACAGTCATCTCCAGGACCCCGTTTCAACAAAAACTGTCAAAAGGGAACTTCATGCTGCGAAAAGTTTATGGCAGAGTGGCAATTCGTAAACCCTTGGTGACAACAACTAATGCTTTCAAGCGTCACTAATGATGCAGAGATCACAAAGGCTGGCCCCCACAGTAGTGGCAACAGGTAATATGGTCAGATGAATCGTCATTCACCCTATTTCAGACAACCGGACGCGTTTATGTCTGGAGAACTCCCAAAGAAGCGTTTCATGCCGACTGCCTCTTTCAGACTGTGAAGCATGGAATGGCGCTATTATGGTATGGGATGCGATATCTTGGTGCTTTCTTAGGCCACTTGTTATTCTGCATGGGAGGATCACATCCAATCACTATCTAAGCATTCTAGGGTATCATATCCTTTTTTTTTTTTTTTTTTTTTTTTTTTTTTTTGTCCATACTGTATTCCCTGGGGAGCGACCGCTTTTTCAAGACGACAATGCCCCAATCCACACTGCTAGGTGTATTCAAGAATGGTTCGAAGAGCATGACGATGCAATTGAACATCTCGCTTGGCCCCCTCAGTCTCCGGACTTGAATATTATTGAACATTTATGGGCATATTTGGAGTCCAAACTTCGTTCCTTATTTCCACCTCCATCCAGACTTTCGGAATTAGAGACCGCTCTGCAGGAGGAATGGCTTAATATTCCTTTAAATAATGTCCATGATCTTTATGCATCTATCTCACGTCGTATTCAATCTGTACTTCAGTCAAAAAGTGGTCCTACCCCCTATTAATAAAGATTTTCCGGTACTATTCCGTTTTGAGGACCGTAAAAAAATTGCAGCGAAAATGTATGCGCAAAAGTGCCAAATCTAGCACAGCCGCTGATTTCAGATTGCGTAATTTTATATAGTTCTATATTTCTTAAGATGCCATTGAAATACTGGTTTGATTTTTAAATCTTTTTTGATATCCTATGGATTTAACAATTTGGGAATTGCCCATGATAAACGTGTGCAATAGAATTTTGGGTAAAGTGCAGAGTCACCCACTGCTTGACGCGTTTTTAAAAATTGCACATATGCGGTATCCATGTACACATCGACCTATTTTCACTTAAAAAATTCCAGAATTGCACAAAAATGGCACTGCGCACACCCTTGACTTTATCTATGTACATCGACTATTTTCACTTAAAAAGTAAAAGAAAATTGACAAAAATCCAATTGTTTTTACCCTTGTAAAAAGCGGCAAACAAATAAGTGGACGATTCTGCACTTTACCGAAAATTGTTTCAAAGAAAAGACATCATTCATTATAAAAAATTATGTTTGAACAACCAACGAGATGAAAGTATGCTTTAGCGATAACTTCCTAGCGAAATGCGATGCATCCATTCAATTATGTTTAGCAATTTTTATATAAATTCTAATAATGATCTGAAGTAGTTATTTACTCTTATGCTTCCATTCCATTCAGTCATGTTTAGCCTTTTTTATATAAATTATAATAAAAAAAAGTATTATATGAAATTAACCTTTCATCTAAATTAAAACATCAATCTTAGATAGTTATTTATTATTATACTTTTTTTCTTGCGTTAGGGTTGCCGAATTATTTTTGGCAGCACTGGCATCAACAATAGTTTGGCAATTTTTTACGGCCCTCAAAACCGAACAGTACCGATTTTCCATTATTTCACAGGTGTTCGTATTATTTTGTTCTCCATCTGTAAATGAAATACATTTGTTAAATATAAAACACGGTAAATTTACATTATAGCTTATTATAACTAACAAACAAAATTTCGAGAGTACACCCCCTTTCTTTCTCTTATAATTTTTGTTTATTTATTTTAATCCTGTTATCTTGCTTGCTTATGTCAAAAACAGTTGTCCGTGCAGTAATTCTTCCTGCAACAGTTCATTGTTTACATAACCATTAAGTTGTTTAAATTACGGGTCAAAAAGTTCTTTTTGCTGCTGTTTACAGACGGCAGACACCTTTTAAGTTTCTGGCTATATCATTCTAGTTCACGTGATGTTGATGATGCAGATCAATAAACTCTTCCAGCATTCAAGAAATACTGTGAGAACGATCACTTGTTCTTTCAACTTGTTTATTCAATGTCTATGCATTAACGGCTTTTTGGTGCCTGCTCTTGACATGGACCTTTTGCCGGAAATTCGAAACGGCGTGGTGATGACGAGCTTGCCGATTGATTGATAGAAAAAAAGTTCCATGTTGAAATCTTTTTTGTTTCGTTTTGTTTTTTGTGTTTCTTATCTTTATGTGCAATGATGTATTGCTTTCTCATTTCGTTGATAATTGGCTTGGCTTTGCAATTTATCCGAGACATGTTTAAATTCTTTACATAATTATCTGTTGGCAGTGCCATAGAAATTATGCCGCAATTCCCCCTCCCATACGCTTAAGGTTACAGTTGTCCTTGGATTAGAACATTGCAATTTTGATATGCTGTATCTTATCAGAAATTGCTGCATACATTTTTTTTAACCCTAATCAAGTTTCCGGTGTTACTGTGTTTGGGGAATTTTGATAGACGTTCTGTTAACAGTTATATATACAGTATAAGTATACATAACACACAGGTACTGAAATAAACATACTAAAATAATCAGATTGTGGAGTTAGACTCTTTGCTGATAAAAAGTTTCTTTCCGTTGAAGGAAAGATATCCTTAACACTATATAATATATTTGTAACTCTTTAAAACTTTTTAATATATTAGTTAACTCTCTTGCTATAATTATAATTATAAAATTGCAGTTAAAACGTAAAATGTGATGCATATGACTCACAACCGTGACAAATTGGTACTGAAAAGTTCAATAAATTTTGTATTACAATAATCATATTGATGAAAATACGACTACCCCTGAAAAAAGACAACAAGTCAGCCATGGAAATATGTTTCATATCCTGCAGAAAATAAACTATTTGACTTCATAAATCCCGTGATGTGTATTCATAGCATTTTAAGTTAATATTTTCTATTTTAATTACAATATTTATTTCACTATAAGCCAGCCAGCCTTGACAAACTGGAAATGCAAATTTGTTAACCATACATAGGGTATAAATGTTACAGTATTTAATTGTTCACTTGCTGTCATCATGTAATTTGTATTCATCATGACTTGATGTCTTCATGCAGAACATCATCTTTTGTGCTGCCAGTCGTATTGGAGACTTTTGATTATGTTGGTAAAACTTGTTACCTATTATGCCAGCCAGATTAATGATATTGTTTCTAAGCTGATGAATATATTTTGAGCTGTTGGGGGGGGGGGAAGGTTGACTTTCAATCAGTACATCCCAAATATATCTCTAAAGCAGTCTACATCAGTTTGTCATATTACCTATGAATAACCAAGTTAAGAAATATTTATAGCTAGAGGAACTAAGAAGCATTTAATATGTCTTTGAAGAAGAGAAATCAAATGCTTCTTAGTATGGTTTGCATGGTAAATTTCACATTAAATCACCTCGCTGTAGATGCATTAAAGGAGAGCATCTCATTTGTTTACCTAGAAAACCAGGCAAAAAATAAATTGTGGTTTTTTCTTACATTATTTTAGTGCCTGTTCTTACCCTGTTACTGAAATTAGTCTGCATTGCAGCTTATTAAGAACACCACATTGTAAAATATTACATTCAATCAGTTAAATAAATAATTGAATTCATGTTAATAACTTTGGTGGATAAAATACATATCTGTTATTAGATTGTTAATTTTTATTAAAAAGTCATAAGAAATTAGGTAAATCATTTTAAAGTTTGAATTGACATCTGTACTATAAATATTTCACTTAGGTATTCAGTTATATTTTTCAATCATTCGGTTTTTCAAAATGTCATTTGCATTTGCTTTGATTCAGTATAAGAATTTATTGTGAATAATGTTTAAGCTTTTATTTTTAATATTCATGATTTATATTGTTAATTTTATAGGAATCTGCCATACATGTGGTGAAAAAGTGACTGGTGCTGGACAAGCGTGTCAGGCAATGGGAAACTTGTACCACACCAATTGTTTCATATGTTGCTCATGTGGTGAGTTGCAAGGATCTTAATATAAATGTTTTATTATTTATATGATAACCTTTTGTAAAATTGGTACAGAATTGCAGTAGAAATTCGTCATCTCTATCTATCCTTCCCTTTTCCTTTATTTCTGATATGTTGTAATGAATTTTAATTCTATATTACTGTTTACCCAGGACTGCTTTAACATACAACTTAAATTGCTTAGACTTGCTTGAAATATAAAGAACTCATTCCAATATAATGTTACTAATTGTGTGTTATTTCAGTATCAAGCACCTATTTTCTATTCTGAGTATTGGTGATTAATTGTTCATTTAATTATTCATTAATCACTGCTTATTAATCAGATGAGTTTCTAGTACTTTTCTGGTATGTCTTCTGTGAAATTATTTTTAAAAACTTTTTATAGAGTTGTAATGCTAAAAATTATATTAATGCCTAATTACAAAAAGGTGTTGTTATTGTAATGTTTTCTTTTTTTACAATCTAGCATTGATTTTTAAAAGATTTCACAAGGTATGATTATTTTAAGGAGTGATATTTGTTAAAATTAAGTCTTTCTTTTAATTATATTGAATTTTTTCTGTGGTATTTCATTTTTTTAATCCTTAACTAGGAAATTTACTATGCATTTATTTAATGCTTGTAATTTGATATTAAGCTTTTAATTAAATAATAGTTTTTCTGTCGGACTTTATATCTTTTTGTAGTTATTACAAGATTTCATATTAATTAGTAAATATGTGTATATTTTGTACTCTTGCATATTTTTCTAATTCTTTGATAGAAACAATTCATCCACTATGTTTTAACTGCAATTGTATAAAATAAAAGTACAAAGAACTAAAATTTTAAAAAATATAAGTTCTCCAGTGAATGAAAATATTGGGACATTTTAATAAGAATCTTAGCTTAATAAGAATGAAAATTCCAAAAATAAAAAATTAAATTTTTATAAAGCATTCTCAGTATACCAAATAAGATTTTATATGAGGGGGGAACTTTTTCCAGAGTCGCATTCTAGATTTCATGATATAAAAATTTTGTGTGTAGAACTGGCTCAAGCCATAGCAGGGTCGAATAGGATTTTCTCATGGAGCTCCCAGTTAAATAAAAAATAAGAAATTTCATTACAAGATTACCAGTTTTATTATTGTTATTATATTGCAATTACATTATTATATATATATATTTATATTTGGTAAATTCTTCTAAAATATGATTTAAATCTAAAATACAGTACAAAGTCTTTAATCCGGATTCATCGGGACTTTGGCGATTCCAGATTAGCGGTTTTTCCGGATTATAGATCATCAATTTAAATCTGATAAGATGGCATGCAGAAATTATAAAATTAAAAATATGAAACCGTAATTTATGAATGAAGTAAAGAGCAATTATGATCTAAAGGGTATCAAAATTTACACACAAAAAAAGCTTAATATTTTTTTGTTTACTTTATTAAATATTTCTTTCAATGCAAGTTGTTTAAGTTGCTTCATTTTTTGTGCTAATACTTTCTCTTTAATTCTATAAACAGACATAATTTCTTGTTCGGTTACAAAGTTCCACTGTTCAAGTCCTGCAATTGCTGTGCCGAGAATACTGACTAACTTATCAATCGAAATTTTTTCGTTTTCACTTACCTCTCTGTCACTTTCTTCATGCCTTTATCCATTTTTTGCAGCAATTCCACTTTTTGTTTCATTGACATCGAAACATGCTTTCGCTTTGTAGATCCTTTGGCAGCTTCAGAATTGGAAACTCTTTTGGCATAATCAAAAGTTCAAGCTTACTTTTTATAAAATTGCTCTAACAGTCTGCAAAAATAATAAGCCAGATCCAATTACAAGATTAAGGAACAACGCAATCTGGAACATTAACTGAAATAGATAATTTTAGCCTAGCTTATACCGTCCGTTATATGTTAAACGTGCATACGTAAATGCATTATGCATTTATGCATGCACAGAAAGTTTGTAGCTTTGAGATTCGGATCATTCCGGATTATGGATGTCCAGATTAAAGATTTTTTGTACTGTATTACATTCTTTGCATTCAACTGAAATTATAGCTAAGTCATTTAACCTGTCTTAAGTCAATTTTGACCTCAAATAGTTTTTTATAAGTTTCAACTTAAAAATGATCTCTCGCCTGATGTAGCACTTACTGGTATTGTTAGATATACTAAAACAGCAATAATAATAAATGAATTCATAAACCTTAAACCTTTGTGATATTTTGTTTTCAGGCAAAATATTTTCAAAAGTGTTTCCTAGTGCTCCAGAGCTATAGACTTTATTGCCTCTATTTTAATGCCAACATTTAACCATCTAATTCCTTGATATGCTGAGCTTTATCCCTTTCTTTTAATTTAGTCGCTATCGAAGCTGTTTCTTACTCAGCTACTGTAGTTCCACTTTATAATTTAATTACATTTTTCTAAAAATAATACTAATAATAATAAACTAAATAAGTGTGAATGACTTTTTACTTGTTCAAATCTATTTTTTAGTGACTCGTCCACTACCAGATTTTAAAAAAATGCGTTTTAGATGATTCTACTGCATCAGTTAGGTTTATCCTCTGTTTCATAAATAAAGTGCCTTTTTTCTTTTCAAAGTCTGGAATAATATCTAAAGTTTCTGCAAGTTTTCTGCATTGCTTAAAACATTTTTGAGTCCACTATTTCTATACTGCAGGATCCAACCTAAAAGGTTTCGTAAACATGAAGGAACCATGGAAATGTCTACCGAAGAACTTTGAAGTTCATTGCTTATGATACTAATGTGGTTAAGTTAATCATGCCAAAAAATATAAAGAAACTATGAATTTATAATCACTAATTAAATTTGCAGGTTATTCTGATTCACTTTTAATTTGTGGATCTGTAGTGTTTTCTGATATTTGAAGAAGTGCATCCTAGAATTGACCCAGCTGGTGTCTTAACTGCTTTAATACTTTAATTGTGAATCCCACCTTGTATCACAAAGAGGCTTGACAGTAAGATGTTGCACATATTTCAAAAGTACTGCCCATGTTTTTCTAGATGCTGAAATTACTTGCGGAGTCACAGCATCGAAAAAGGTTTGAGAATTTTCTTTGAAGAGTCTTGCCTTAACTCTAAAATCCTTACCTTACATACTGGATCTGTTGCCATAACATTATTCATTGATATCCAGTCCCAAAGATTTAATTTCTTGTTTTAAAAATGGTATAAACTTGTTCATATATGTCCAGAACTATCATCAACATAAATTGCTTATTAACACCAATGATTAAGCCTGGTTATATACCATCTGAGATATATCTGACAATAAAAGGTATGAGCTGTTGGTGTTTGATATCTGGACTACAGTCAAGAATCACGGCAAAATATTTTCCAAATTTTATTTGATCTTTAGTTTGTTTTCAATTTTATTTCCTATTAAGTTGATAATTTCATTTTGAATTATTTTGCTAAGGTATATTTCTTTTAGTCTTGTATTAACGATTCACTGAAAATGGTCTTTTTGTATTGAGTCATACATTCCAAGTAGTTCAATGATTCGTAGAAAATTGTCATTGTATGAATCATCCAGATCCTGAAAACGCTAAATTATGTTCAGCTAAAAGTTGTATACAGAAAATAGTCTTAAAAACTTATCTTAATTGAATTCCCCCCCCCCCCCGATTATCAGTTTTTTTATGTACAACTTTTGCTTGACTTTCTCGATAGTAATTTCAGCTAAGAGTCTTTTTTGCAGTTCCATACATTTTAACATTGATACTAAAGTGTGCTTTGATTTTTCATGATAGTCTTCTGTGGATATTATTAAGTCTTGTATTAGTCTGTTATAAAGTCTTGTAGTAGTTAAAGCAATTCTTTCACTAATAGATGAAAGAATCAATATATTTTATCCATTTTTTCAGACTAAATAAACCAGGGTCAAGATGATTTCATCATTTGGCAGTTTTCTTTTTGAATGATTCTTTGAAAAAACGTGCTATCATTTTAAAGGGAGAAATTATGTAAGAAAATTTCTGGTGGCACTTTTTGAACCAAATAATCTCTTATAGGTCTGTTAATTATTTCAGGCCAAGTAGCGGGATCATGTCGTATTCTCATTTGATGTTTCAATTCTTCATTTGTATACTGCACTTGACTTACTGGACTAGTCTTGGGTTTTTGAGATTGTTCGTTATCTTTGTAATGATTATCAATCTTGTTATTTCTCTTAAGGTAAGCTCTGCTCCTGATTTGTCATTTAAGCTGTCAGTTGCTGTACCGTCATTGTTCTTGTGGTGCTTATCAATTTCAACTTTGTGAACTTCTTTTGTTGATATGTCAATGGTTCTTTGTCTCTCTTGTTGACTTTTAAATATTTAAAAAACATTTTTATTTATCTAATTGGCAGCTATGATATTTTCTACCTGTATTTTATCCCTTTCTCATTCTGCATTTGACAGCTAAGTTAAAATGATAATCAAATTAATATATTTATTTAAATGTGTTATAAAAAAATACAGTCAAGTTTATAATTTTAATTCACTTCTTTGCACTTGGGGCTTTTTTTGCACTTCGCTTCAGCAACTTGAGACTTTTCATAGCCTTTTTTATGCATTTCTTACCAGTAACTTAAAATCATTACACACACAAATTAATATATAATTTTTTTTTATTTTAACATTTTATATATCTTTACACCTTTATAAAAGTAATTTCCTAAATATTAGTGTCTGTAATTTTTCTGTGTATGATATTTCGTGTAACAATTCTCAAGATGCATGCCCTGCTTGTCAGGGCAAGTATTACAATAATATGTCATTTGATGCCTCTTCCCTGGTTCATTTCTCTGAGAACAAATTTTGTGATAAATAAGAAAAGATAAGATTTTCTTATCTGAAATCTTAAAGGGGTATCATTTTACACTTCATAAAATTATACAGTAACAGTGTAGGTACCCGCTTTGAAGAAACTGAACGTAAACAGTTATTGCCCCCACATCCAGTTTCTGTATCAAACCAAGTGGTGAGTGAGAGTTACCTCTCAAGTTGCAACATCACACGGTGAGTGAGAATCACCTCTCCAGTTGCATCATCAAATCACATAGTGAATGAGAGTGACCTCTCGAGTGCAAAGGATTAACAGTTAAACACACTATAAGTTCTAATATTGCTTTTATTAATAATTTACTTACACTTTTCCATAAATATTTAATTCATTTATTACACACCGTTTGCAACAGTACTTACTATTTTCAGTGTTAAAGTACATGGTGGGACGGAAAAGTAAATATTATTTAGTTTTTGCTTTTAATTGTGAGTATCAGAGTAGTCAAAATATAATGTATTACTTGACAAGGATAAAATAATATCCATCCACTTATGCTCGTACGAGAAAAATATGTCTTATTCAGTTTTTAATTTTAATATACAACAAAATCTAATGCATGAATTTCTGTACATGGGATCCTAACAAGTACAGGGCCGAATTTAGCGCATTCAGACCAGTTGGCATTTCTTCGGCTCTGATCATATTAAAAATTTGTGATTTAACTTGAATTCACCAAAATGGCAAAATATTATTATCATTTACTATTATATAAACGAAAACAGGGGTGCATGATAGCAGGTTTCAATTCCACGAATGTTTCAAATGAAATCTGCTAGTAGAGTCAGTTAATTAGTGTTGTCATTCTTCAGATGAACAGAGTAAAGCATATTTGTCAAAAACCCAATAGTGACAATGGCCACATGGGCCCTTTGTGAAATAGCAGAAATGTTCAGTTTCTGTAACTTCTGAAATAAGAGAAGTAAAATGGGGACTTCATCAAATGTTAGTGCAAGGACTGACTATCAAATGTAAATGCTAGAATGAAGTTATGATAAAGTTAAAATAAATACAATATAAATCTGAAGTAATATGATCAGAAAATTGTGCAATTTTTGTAATGCTGCAGGTATAATCAGGGTGTTGCATGTTTATAATTTGAAAAATTGTTTTATTTTTATTATTAAATTTATCAAATAATGCATAGCAAGCACACTGATAAAGCATTCTTTAATAACTTCTGTATCAGTAAATCAATTCATATTGTTTTCAAACATGTGATAGCCTTCATATAATGGTTTTCTCACTGCTGTATATTGCAAAACATTATATTTTGTTCATGTCACAAAAATTCTTGAGGTTAAATTTTCACTTCTTGTTAAAGATCTGCATGGAAACGTATCATTAAATTTATTTTGTTTTGATCATGAATTTATTTAGTATCATACTTTTAGAACAGAGCTAAGAAGTTGTTGAACTAATGATGATTGTGCATAGCAAAATATTCCTCTTCTCCCTTGTCTTAAAATAATCTTTTTTTTGGGGGGGAAGACGTTCCTGCCATTATGAATAATAAAATTCTATGATTGTGTACTTCAAATTAAAATACCGTATTTGACGGCATATAAGACTCACTTTTTTTCCTAAATTTGGTCTCAAAAAAGTTACCTGCGTCTTATACGTGAAGGTAATTGCATTCAATAATTGTTTATTTGGCTTTTACGAAACGTGAGAATTAAAAGAAACCACGCTATTGAAACTTTTTTTCCTTGTGTGTGCCCCTCTAAATAAGGGTGCGTCTTATATGCCGTCAAATACGGTAATTAAAGGCCATGTACCTGTGTAACTATTTAACTACAACAATGTACACACTCATTACTTAAGATTAGATCAGATCATGTATTTGGCTGTGATCTGTATGGTAATAGCTATACTAGTGATATCACAAATTAAAAGCTCACAGGATGTGTAAACTTTGAACTTGTATTTGATAAATTTAAAATTTTATTATATTGCAAAAAAGCCCAAATCTTCATTTCCTACAACCATAAATAGCTTTCTTTCAAGGCACATATATAAGCTTGTTGGGCTGTGGGTTGAATATGAATGCTCCAAGAAATTGATTATGATAGATAAGGGAATATGTCTTTATACTTTGTGTAAAAGTCACTATCTTTCCTTCTCTTAAAATGAAAATGCAAAGTACTTGTGAATGTCATTTGTCACTCCATTTTCTTTCTTCTCAAAGCCTGCCTTTAATAATTAGGGATCCCATGAAGCATTAGGATACCATGGGCACTGATGGTATATATATGTAAGAAGAAATACAATTTTATATACACTTGTGAGAAGTACAAATGTAAAAAGAAATACAGAAAGATGAAAAATAATTTGTAATTTAAATTATCAGCATAAATTAATTTCCCTTCTCTATTCTAAAAATAGTAATCTTTCTTGCACTGTGTTATATCAAGACTAATCCTTGTCATATGACTTTTACACAATTCTGATGATGTAAATGGAACTAAAATTTCAAACAGTCAATAATAATTTTACAGGCATTTTTAATTATCCAATCAAAATGCTTTGAGAACTAAAACTAACTGTCTGAGTTAAAATTTCATCCTGAGCATAACACATTGGCTTGCTACTCTTCAACCTATCTGTACTGCTGTCTTCTTACTGCAGAGTTATCAGTAATGTGAACATTTTGAAAAAGACACGAATAATGTGCCAACTTGTTTGTGGTCGCAACATGTTTACTAAAATAAAATGAAGATTTAATCTGCCTCGTCTGCCAGTTTCCCTATTCCTTGTGGATCAACATTTCATCATTCTACGGCATCAAAATTCTTGCTCTTCATTATAGATTCAACCTTCTTCATCATCAGTGTTGCAAAATCCTTTTTTATTACACACAAGCACACACACACACACACACATACATACATATATATATATATATATATATATATATATATACACACACACACTACAGTTCTCTCTTTTCTTAGATCCTTTTAAAATTTACTGTTACCAGCCTTTGATTTAAATTGTTTAGTTGGACTCTTTTACTTGTAGTCCAAAGAAGGAATATCTACATGTATTATACTTAGAGGGAAATATTTAGAAAATCAGTAACATTAATACATCTGTTTTTATGTATATTTTAATAGTGTGAATATTTTATTATATTTCTCCTCAGAAGTGGTACAACTGTATGATTTTCTTCTGTTGATTCTCATGTATTAAAGTTTGTGAAAAAGGAAACATATTGTGTTATTAAATGCTGTAAAATGATGCTATTGCATCATTTTTGGGGGTGTTCTTCATGCATAATTAAAATATAAACTTGTTTCTGTAGAAATTCATTGCAGTTGGTATTCTTTTTCCAAAGCAAATAGCTCTTGCATGTAATTAAAAAAAAAAAAAAAATATCCTGCAGAAGGTTTCCAACAAGTAATATTTATTTCTAATAACTAAGGTTGAAAGCTTGGGGGGAAAAAGATACAAATTATTGATAATTTCATATATTATATGCAAAGGATAGATATTTATTCATCCTAAAAGTATTTTTCATGATTGTGATTATTTTGTTTGTATTAGGTCGGGCTCTTAGAGGTAAAGCATTTTATAATGTCCATGGCAAGGTGTATTGTGAAGAAGACTACCTTGTAAGTTTTTTTTTTTTTTTTTTTTTTTTTTTTTTTTTTTTCTTTGTATGTACATGTAAGATAAGTAATATGTTAAATTAAAATGAGAATTTAATTTGTAACAGCCATCTTTTTTTAATGTGATTATTATCTTTTATTTCCTAAAAGTAATAATAATATACTCTTTCTGAAATATATTCTTTCAAAACTTATCCCTCCCTATAACTTATATATCAGGGGGCCAAAGTGTGGCTCGCGAGCCTGATACGGCTCTCACAGGCAATTATTGCGGCTCATGCATGTAAAATATATGTATGAAATATGGTAAACTAAAACTATTCAGTGTCCAAAAGGAAGTAATTAATTAGTTTAGACTCCTTTTACAAAGTTATCAAGGATTTCTTCCTATTTAAAACCTCCTCCACTACTTCTATAATGATGTAACTATGAACACTGGCTTTTAGAAAATCTAGATGCGACTCTCGAACATTCCTGAATTCAAACTTAAGGCTCTTACTGACATGAAATTTGGCCAACCCTGTTATATATAATACTAATGATATGTGTACTATGTCCATGCATAAATCCAAGCAGGAAAGTAAAATCTTGTATCCAGTTATAATCAAATTTTCTGTTCGTAAATAGTAATAATGTGATATGATGTTCAGCTCTTGGAATTTAAAACAACTTTACTGTACTTATTCCATCATCATTAATGTAATATTTTCTTCTGGCATTCCACTCTTGATAACATGTAATTTACTACCCCTCGTTGTTGCCAGTTATAGAAATTATTGAATATTGGATGTACTGTGTTTTTACATCAAACCAAAAATTTCATTACATACGTATAATATAAAATTGATGAAGAATTCTGTTTATTGGTCAGATTTTTCACAATCGGCAATGGTTATTTATTTATTTAATATTTTCAACTAATTAATTATTTTTTATATTTTGCTGTAGCATTATATATTAAGTTTCATTAGTGTGTTATTATAAAAGTCTGTTTGATTGCTTTACTCCTTATGAAAAAATGCTGTGCAGATTTTTCTTTTCATGTGCATAAGATTTGGGGAAAATGTGAAAAATTTGAACTGTTACTCAAATATAGTTTGTCAAATTATATTGTTAGACTGAGAAAATAGCCCTCAAAATTTCAGAGTTAAAATTAAGGAGTAATATTTGAATCACCTGAATCCTGAAAAAAAATCTTGAAACTCGAAAAATGTTTATGCTCCTCCACCACCCATTTGAATCTTTTGGAACTATTAAATGTTTTTATTCCAAATATTGAAAATATTAGTTATTTAAAGAGATTTTTTTTAATTCTTTCATTGAGAAAGAATTAAAAATTTCATACAGCCGATTGTGGCGATCTCAAAAAGGTTGTCTAGCATATCAGGTATTGTAATTAACAAAAATAAGGTAGGTTAAAGCTAGAATAAGTTCAAATGCTTTTTTTTTTTTTTTTTTAAATGAAAATCTGTGTTAAAAGTTCCTACTTTTATAAAATCTTACTTATTTATTCAAATCTTTAACTCTGTAGAGAGAATTCGACCTCTGTGTTCAGTGTGTTTATCTCTGTTAATTTTTGAAATTATCCCCCTCCCCTCTATAGTCGTTTAATTTTTAAAATCTTGAAAAAAATGTGTTAAGCAATAGGAGTTGTTCAATATTTTTTATCAAGTTATATTGAGAAAGTGAAACTTAAAATTTAAGAGTTTCATTTATGTACCGCATTAACAAAATTTTGTTGTATGATACTAAACACTGATGTATTTTTAAAAATTGCATAAAAATTTATCTCGTTAAATTCAAATTTTAGATTTTTCTTTAACTGAAAACTTTTAACATTAACCCTTTGTTGCATACAAATAATCTAGAGAATTTAAATGAAAATGTTTGTATTTTTTCTACTTAAAATAACCTTAGTAATAATAAACAAAATAATAATAATAATAATAATAATAATAATATAATTTTCTTCAAATTTCGTTTTAAATAATTGCTACAGTTTGTTCACTACAGTGGACAGCATGCATATATGTACATGCATGCAAATCTCTTCCCAACGATTTACGGTTCATTGCATTTGAAATCATTTTCTGCCTTATTTGCAGTGGATCATTACCATCTATTCTAAATGGTAAATCTACAAACTGACATGATACATACAGATCCCCCAAAATACCTTTATTTTGTCTATTGTGATTGAATTTCATTTTGCTACGATTTTTTATAACCTGTACCTATTGGATTTCAAATGTCAAATGTTGTAGAAATTCCTTGCCAAACATAAACATTTCCAGTGGTGTTTTGGCTTGATAAGCTGTACATTTGGGTTTCAATTAACTCTTTTCAGTAGATCTTTATCTACCCACTCCACAATTTTCTCAAACTGACATTTAAAATAAAATGTCTAAAATTACTAATTATGAATAAAAAATGGCAATATAAGAAAATGTAAGCAATATTATATAATGTTTACTATGAGAAATTGTACTAACTTGGAAACAGAAGTAGCAACCATTTTCCAAATAGCAGTGCTTTGCTTAGTGATGCTATTGCAGCCATCTATGCTCGACTGCTATAAAGCTATCTATGATCGACTGCTATTTAGCCATCTATGATCAACTGCTATATAGCCATCTATGATCGACAGTTGAAAGTTCTAATATTAAAGAATGAATAAACACAGGAATGGAATCTGTTAAGGCATTTACAAAAGAATAAAGAAATTTAAACTTTTGTCTACTAGAGTGGACATGATGCAAGAAAGGGTTAAACAAAAGCTCCTTAAGTGCCGTATTCTTAACTCTGTATGGCAAATTGTTTTTCGAGTAATATTTGATACCTTAAAAACTCATTTGTAATTTCTGTTCCTTTTCTGTTAGAAAAATCTCTTTAATACACCTGAAGTTTTTATCTAAAAATAATCCTTTTGGGTCCTGTCTTTAATTTAATTTAATTTTTTAATTTAATTTTTTTTTTTTTTTTTTTTTTTTTTTTTTTTAGTAGTACAGCTTTTTTTTTGTAACCTAGTTTGTTGTTAATTATATTTCAGCTCTAGGTGAATAAAATGGTGCAGTAGTAATTATTTAATTACTGTTGACTAGCATTGAAGCTTCATATTTTTTAATGTACTTGTATATTTTAAGCAAATTTTTAAAAATAATTCTTGTAATCATGTAAATAAAGTGCAAAACATCTTAGCCCAATGTTGTGTTTAGGTATATATTATATATATGATTTTCTACTCAGGTCTGTACTTTATGGACTGGAGGTAAATTACAAATAAAACTATTTTGCATTTGTTCTAAATTAAATTATTAATTCTTGATCCATATAAATAAATTGATTTATAAATTGGATTACTTGTGTGTATAAATTGCTCTTGAAATACATTTTATTAACTAAATTTCTGTAGTGTATTTGTTAAATGTTTCACTAACATGTATAATACTAAGTACTGTAAATATTTGGTTATAATACTTATATTCTTTCATTTAGTATTCTGGATTTCAACAAACTGCAGAAAAATGTGCAGTATGTGGTCATCTAATAATGGATATGGTAAGCTGTGTTTTAAAATCTGTTTTTGTTAATATTTTCTTTTAAAAATGTCTTGTACCTGTAACCAGGTTAATTTGTTTAGTTTTAAATATTTTATAAAAATGTGAAAAATTATTGAATTATCATCCCTTGAAAATTAAGCATAAACTTATTTTGCCTCTTAAAGTAGTTAATCCTTTTTCCATGTGCACAGTATTAGTTCTAGAAATTATTAATCTGAGAAAAGGAAGCAATGAATTGCTAAATATTATAACTCATTCATTATGATAAATAGCAAAACATTTCATAGATTATTATTGAAACATATGTGTTTGTGTTATTGTATTTCACAAACTGATTCCAGTTAGAGAAATTATTCAGTTTTATTATCATGTATTTGTAGATATCCAATATTACATTTAAGGTACTATTTATTTGTAAGATACAAGAGGAGAGCATGTTGAAAATTCAAAATTGGACAAATTTCTATCTTAGCAATGATTTTTTTTTTTTTTTTTGTGTCAACAAATTTATGTATGGTGCTATTGCAATAATAGAACTATTTACACTAATTATTTATCAGAATAGTTTATTCTCACTACAGAAACATGTCCCATCTAAAGTTGAATTTTACCTAATTTTAATAATTACTTTGTTGTTTTGTTAACTTATTGTTAAAAAACTATGGTGCATGTTTTTATATAGTATCTTAAAAGTATGGGCATCTTTTTTTTTTTTTTTTTGGGATGCTGTCTTTGCTGATTTATTATCTTACAACATGCACACAAGTTTACTATAATTTTTGTAGAATTTTTTTTCGTAAATATAGTACAAAATTCAAGATCGTGACTTCAGCACTTCTGGATTTGCGATTTATCTGGGTATTAAGTCATAAGTTTAAATCTATTAAGATGAGATGTAGAAATTATAAAATTAATATATGAAATAGTGATCTATGAAATCAACATCTACAATAAATATATATTTATTGTAGATTGCTCAATATTTATTTATTTGTTTCCTTTATTGAATTTCTTTCAGTATAAGTTGTTTAAGTTGTTTCTTTTTGGTTCTGAGACTTACTTACATGGATGTAATTTTTGCTTCAGTTATAAAGTTTTGTTGTTCATGCCCAGTAATTTCAGTAGCAACAATTCCCTCACTGTCAAGAGTAATATTTTTTGGATTTAAAACTCTACTGCATATTTCACCATCTGTTAGTTGGTTGATGGTTGGGATATTATCATCGCAATGAAGAACTTCTGTTATATCATCTTCATTTTTACACCTTCTCTATTTTTCTTCACAAACTCAATTAACTGGAAAATTTTGCTTTATTTGCGATAACTGAAAAGCTTCAAATTTGAAGTTATAATTATAGAGTTACTTTGCACCTGCTGTACACTGGCAATGTAACGTGAGATTGGCAACTAAAGATATTTTGTCTTGCTTCTATTGCACACTGGCAAAGTTAAGCATGATCAGCGTAATTATTTATTTTACTTATGCCTATTTCCTGCTCATGTGTAAGGCTTATCTATGTCCTGAATAAATAAATTCCCACATAAGGCTTATCGGAGGTTGGTACTAGACATTTTGCAGCTTGATGCAGTTTTTTGTAGGTCCTAAATTCTGCTGCCAAGTGCATTCCTAAATTTTAAAATGTATTCACTCCTAAATTTTGCATTCCAGTGCCTTCCCTAAATTCTAAAGATTTCACCATCCCATAATTTTTTGGTCAGTGCTTCTCAAAATTCTAAAAATTTTGCCTCCTGTAAATTTTACTGCCTGCTGTGGCCACACAAGCTCTAGTGCTGTCCTGAGATTATCTGAATAATAAATCAGTTAAATAAAATAGCACTAAATGTAATCATGTAATATTTTCAATACTCAACATTTCGTGCTCAAGGAAGTATCATGTAATCTTTTGGCCTATGAGTACCATTTATCAAATCTATTTTTTGCATACGGAAATAAATTTCTTTTAAGTTTCTCCTTGTCAACATACTCAATGCTTTGCAGTGCATAAAAGTTACCATGCTCTTTGGCTCTTACTGATATTTAAAAACAAAATTGTTTAAATATCTCTGATTGAGTCATTTCTCAATCTCCCTTGGGATTCCATTCATAGTCATGGATTGATGAATGCAAAAAAAAAAAAAAAAAAAAAAAAAAAAAAAAAATTATAAATAATGATTTGCAAGTTTGACATAAGGGATATAATTTATTTAGTAAATGTAAAATCAGTGATGTTTTCAAGTAGAATGTTTCAGTTTGAGATGTAGGTAAAGCAAAAAGGCGTCCATGGAGCCACAATATTATCATACATATTTATGCTAATAAATGATTGTTTCTTCAGTATGGAGGCATTTTGTTTATCACCATAGTGAAATATAGAATTAGGACTCTCCACATGTTTTATTATTTTAGTATAAAAAAATACCAAATGAGCATGTATAAAGCATACAAATAAAATGTAAAAATTGCTGATGGTCCAGAAGCTGATTCTGTATGCTGGACGTCCAGATTTCTGACATTGTACTGTACACTGTAGTACATTATGTATACCTAGCGAGAATTTTTTTTCACTAACCAATCGTAGCTTTGAAATAACATTCTTTCAGTGATTTATTTATCTGTTTCTGCAACCTTTTGTTGTAACAAAGCTTCACTTTCAGGACTATTGCTTCTACTTATAGAATGAATCTCCCAGAGACAGCTGAATCAATATTTTCTGTCTTCATTAGTTTTGTATTTTTGCAGATCTAAATATTTTTTTCTACTTTTCTTTTACTATTAATTTTAAGTATTCTCCAATGTATACATTTTCAATTAAAAGGTGCACTAAAAATTTTCGTAAAATGACTGTTTTTTCTGTAGCATCAACAGTTTCATTTCTTATTTTTGACATTAATGTTTTCCTTTTTAAATATGCAATAAGAAATAAAGAAATATGCCATATGACCTAGACATGATTCACAATGATATGAATGAATCAAGAGACAGTGCATGTTTTGTATTTTTCAGTATCCGTTTTGGTGTGAGAACAGACTTGAAGCTCAATATGAAATATCCAAAAAGCTATCATGACTGTGAGAACTTTTCAGGAAATCCAAATGAGCTATTGGGAATCAAATTTACATTAGCAAGATATTATTTAACATTCATTTCAGGAGGTGCTTTTTTACTCATCCCACTCTTATTTCCAATTCATTTTTAAAATTTCTCAGAATTAAAATGCTTTTGTGACCTTCCCACTCTTATTTCCAATTCATTTTTAAAATTTCTCAGAATTAAAATGCTTTTGTGACCTTGGCAATTTTTATATAATCCCTACTTTGAAAACCACTGATCTGGAGGGTTCCCCTCCTTTTGTTTGCTTTGTTTAATTTTCTTTAAGAATTATAGATGAAATCAAAAAAGCTATAGTTTTAATAAATTAATTTTTAATTGATTTAAATTCTAATCTTTTGTAAGTTTAAAAGATAGGAAGAGAAAATACAAGGACAAATAAAAAAGAAAATTACTCTGGGCACTAATTGGTGACACTTTGTGAATGTAGTAAGTTTGTGGAGTTGTAGAACAAATAGGAGAGCTTTGGAAGGAAAGGCAAGTTAGTATTTTTTCCCCACTAAGTTATTTGTAATGTGCTGCATCCATATTCCAAATTGGAAATAAGAGGAAGTTTAAGTTTTTTCATGGGCAGAACCCTTAAATTGGCTAGACATTCATGAAATTGCTGCTGTTAATGGCTAGTATGCAATATCATGGTGTACAATTTTGAAGTGGTGTGAGTGATTTGAAATGGTCACACTGGGATCACAAACAGTTATTGTCCAGGGCAATTTGCCATTGTCGAGCACATTCTTTGGGACAACTGATGCATAAAAATTAAGGAAACTTTGTTTATGCTGGGCATTTCATATGGAAATGCTTATTCATTTAATCATAAATAATAACTCCCCATAATTCCATTAATTATAACATATGAATCATTCAACATGAACACCTGTAATGTCAAAAGCTGTGTGTGAAATGGCTGCCATGGCTTTTTAATGGCTACACATAATGAGCAGTGTTTGTGGTTCTGTTTCAATATCTGGAATGATGTGCTGTAGGAGGCAACAAATTCCTATGCTGTATAATCACAGGTGACAAATTGTAGTTTCACCACTTCACCCCCCCATAGTGAAATGCTACACAAGACTCTCCTAGAAGGCAAAAATGCAAAGTCTGATTGTCAGTGAAAAGTCGTGGTCACTGTGTTTTTCAACGGTGAAGCTATGTCAATGAAAAGTCATGACCACTGTGTTTTTCGATTGTGAAAGTTTTGTTTACCTTGAATTTGTGGGTAAAGAGATGATGATAAAGCCAACTCCTATTACAGAATTTGAGAAAAGCAATCAAAGACCATCAACATGGCAGAATAAACTACGGCATTGTATGGCACATTAATGCCAGACTTGATGAAAACAATGAAAGAAAACAAACTTTGCTCAGAAATTTAATTGGTAGGTTAGGCTTTCCCTACCATACTTCCCTGACTTAGCACCATGCAATTTCCATTTATTTGGACAAATGAAGAACAACCTCTCCTGTCTACATTTTCGAACTTATGACAAACATAAACTGGCTCTATTCGATTGCTTACACAGTGTGATAAATGTTTCAGCTCATTTGTAGACTATATCAAAAAATCTGATGTGTGCACCACATGACTTCCTTGTACAGAATATTAAATTATACACATTTTTTCTTGCATTTCATTTAAACTTATTGAATTGAATTAAATCTACTTCACCGACAACAAATAAACCACAATAGAATAAATGCATTCTTTAAAATTCACTCTATTTATTTACCATAGCGACACTCTGGCACTAGATTCACTTAACAGTATTATATTTCATTCATATTATAACACAGAATGCACAAATTTATATCATTTAAAGAATTATCTAATCGTTGCTACATGTTCTATTGAAATACTATAAAAAGCTAGAACAATGTATAAAAAAAATACGCAAACAAAAAAAAAAAAGAAAGAAAAAACACTTTTTCAAAAGACGATTGAGTATTTCTCATTCCAATTAATTCGTTCTCACTTGCAAAAAAGCAGAAGAAATACATAAAAATCAAATACCTGTATTAAAAATTACGAAGTAAATCTTAAACGCTTATTTCCTCGAAAAAATTCCAGAAGGATTAAGCATGATTAATTCCATCCTAACTGAAGGCTTATTCTTTTTGTTGTGAAGCTAAGTTTCTCTAGATTGGCAAATCTATAGTCTGCTGTTTCAAATGTAACCAGCATGGCCGCCAAAAAAATTAGCTTAGCGCACTTAAACACCCTTAAAATGTTGATAATTCTAAAAATATTGCTCAGAGTTACTAAAGGCAAAAACCTGGAAGATACGACCAACATAATTCAATCAATTTAAAGCAAAAAGTCAATTTACAAACTATAAGCGTAAAGAAACTGCGCCGGTAACAGAGTGGATATATTATAAGTCTATTATATGTTTGGTGCGGCGGATTGCAACTAAAATGCGAGGGTGCAACATCTACTGCAGTCCTATATAAAAAATTTCAACGTTATGCGTACTGTCCGTACATACATTCGTACAGATGCCACGCAAACTTCTCTTCAGAATTTATTTTTAAAGCAGTTTTACTTTTTGGAGGAAAGCGTCTTTTATCCTGTTCTTACCTACAGATCTCAAGCAAAAAACACATTAAATTGCATTCGATAGCGGGCCAAATGGATTTTCGTTGGAAATATGCTGCCTGAAACTTTTCGTGATTACAATACTTCCTTTTTACTTCATACAAGGAGGTAAAAATGACTTATGCCTATGCTAATTAATAATCTTTATTTCCTTTTTTATTTTATTTATTTATTTATTTATATTTGTTATTTTGTGTGTGGCATTTTGACTCAAGTGCAATTTACTTTGTATTTGTCTATGTAAAATATATCAGAGTGCAGTAATTAATTATAATTGCGATGTTTTTGCATTTGTATATTGCCCGCTCTTAATTTTTTTATATCTTGTCTAATGTGCTGCTGATTATTTTTATTTTTTTAAACAATAAAAAAAGTTTAAAATTGTTTAACTTAAAATATTTATCCATTTATAATATATTTGGCTGATTCTTAATAATTATTCAAATTAATGTTTTTCCTTAATGTAGATACTGCAGGCTATGGGCAAATCATATCATCCTGGGTGCTTCCGTTGCTGTATATGCAATGAATGTTTAGATGGAGTACCATTTACAATTGATATGGATAATAAAATTTATTGTGTGAATGATTACCACAAGTAAGTTCAACATTCATAATATTATCTATCATTGTTCTAGATCAAATGTGAGTTGTTGGTAACAATTCTATGTCGGAGAATATCAGATCTGTATTTACATAAATATGCATATATGTGAAATAAATTTAAATGTTTTGTGAATACTTATCATTTATTTTTTATTATGAATTAAATATATTTGAAGTAAGGTCTTTCAGTAACTGAGTGCCTAAGACCAGTGAATCTTTGTATGTTCAACACAGGTTCAATGTTCTTGAAGCAGCAGCAATTATTTTGACTAGTGTTTATTGCATATTTTTAAATATCTTTTAATTTGATGTTTATGAGCTATTGTATACACTAAGTAGTTGTCCTTTACATTCTTGCATTTTCTAATATATTTGATTCTATTGCTGAAATCTCAAAAACTGCAGTTTTTTTTTTTTTTTTTTTAGTTGCCATAATTACAAAAGTAGAGTTTCTTTTTTGGGGGTGGATGTAATAGTAATGCATCTTTGCTTTACATTTTAGGTTCTGTCTTTTAAGATTTTATTTCTGCTTTTTCAGCATTTATTTTTTAAAAAATCTGGAATTGTTTTTTGTTTATTTTTACAGTCAGTTTACTTTTACAATACTTTTCCTTTAAAGGGATGCATAACAAAACATAAATATTATAAGAAATAAACATAAATACTATAAGAAAGGGAAGAGCTTACTATAGCTGCCAACTCTCCCAGTTTTTCATCATATCTTCTGATCTCCCATTAAAGCACCAAATTTCCTGATTTTTTACTTTTAGCCTTTACAGAAGAAAATGTTTCTGGTCAATAAATAAAGTTTTTGACTTAATAAAATTTAAATCATCCAAATCCCAAATTACTAGTGGTGGAGACCACTAGTAATTTTCAATATAATTTTTTTATCAATTTTTTATCTGAATACAGACATTTGTAGAACATTTTATGAAACTTGAACCAATGTCTAAACTGTAAATATTTGTATGTAATTTTATTTTGCTTCAATAAGTGATATATTACTAAGTTTATCCACACAGTATTCTCTACATTAATTATTAATTTTATATTCATTGTATTTAAATATAAATACAACTTATTTATCCCTATTTGGAACATTTTCATTACAAAAGTGTAAAAAAAGGGGGGAATTGTCCAAAGAGCATAAAATTCAGAATATCTAATCAAATATATTTCATTATAATCATACTCTAAATACGTCAGTAATGAGATTATGTGGCAGAAGGTGAATTTAAGTCAGTTTGGAGTTCCTTTAAAATATTGCTGTCACATCCCGAACCTCCTAGTTTATCATGTTTCAGGGTTGGTAGCTGTGGTTTAATAAGAAGCACATGATAAGTAAATGCCATTTATTGTATCATGTGTGGGTATTATGCTTCATTTCTTGGAGATTATGCTGAATTATGGATAGTTCAGTGGTCTCAACTCATGGAACCCTTAAAACTATAAGGTATTTTTCTCACCCTTTCAAAAATATATCTTAAAACTATATAGACAATATGTTGCAGGTATTTTATGTAAAGGCAATTAAAGTATTGTAATTTTTATTAAAAAATGTTAGCATAAAAATTATGTAATTTACTCATTTATAGTGTATGCGCTCCAGGTCTCGCCTACCTTTATATTATATTTAGTGACAAGGGTGTGCTTGCATTTTTTTACGCAAACTGTCTAGCTGTATTGATGTTATCTGCAGGTGCATTTCATATTGTGCATTTAATTTGTTTCTGTGTTTTCTTTTTGTTGCCACATATGTTGAAAAATATTTTTCACTTAAATAGCTGTTCCATTAAAATGTTTACAGCTGTACGAGAAACTTCTGGGTATTTTGCATGAATCTACAATCAAAAGTTTAGCAGCTGCTCTTGTTTAAAATTAGATCTTAACCTTGAATCTGTTTATATGTCGATAAGCTGTTCCCTTTCCTTCATTGGCAAGCCTTTTGATTAATCAACTTAATACTCAGATGTATTTTTTATGTCTTTTAGTTTTTTTCTTCTGGAAAATATTCTTGTAGAGTTTTCTTCAATTGAAAAAAACATTCCATTATATAATTCCTAACACTGTCATCTAAATTTTATTAATTTTTGATTAAAAAATCTATAAATCAAAAAAATTGGTTCAAGATTTTCCCTTTCAATAACCATCTGACTTCTGAATGTAAAAGCTGGCTTCTGTGGTTGCTGGATAATTATTTGCATAATTGAGCGAAAAAACAAAATAACCTCAAATTCAAATCTCTTTTGATTTTATAAAATGTATCATTTTCGCAACATAATTTAAAACATCTTTCAATACATTCTGTATTCATTTTATCACAAATGCCTAGCAATAGCAATGAATATGTTTAATGTTGCACTAAAAAGGTTTATTTGCACTAAAAATGTTTTATTTTTAGTGCAGTTGAAATTATTTGGGCTATTATTCCTTTGCTGAAATCCAATAATGACTCTGCTCCATCTATACAAATATTCAAACATTATTCCCAGTGTAATATGTTTGTTAATTGTATTATTTTAATATAATATGCTTTCTCCAGTAGTTCTTTCTGGAAGAGATTTGCATAGCAGCAAAGACTATCAAAACGGCCAAGTCAGCAATATCTTATCAGTTAATCGAACTTCATGATAAATTGATAGGGAAAAGATTTTAAATGAAATACTAATTCTTCACAAAATTGTGCCATTGCTTCAGTTCGTCACATGACAGTGTTATCAGAGAGTGTCAAATTATTGATTCCTTTACGATATCTGTTACTAAATTTGCAAGATAAAAGTGTCATCTTTAATATGCCACTTTATTAACCTTTCACTATTTTGTATAGGCCTCACCTATAGCAATTTGGTGTCTAATACAAAAAGAAATCTCAAGAGAAGTTTGGTTGTCAGAATATGTCTATTTTGAGACTACTTTCTTTTTATGGTTATTTAGTTTTGTCATGTTTATGTTCAAAATTTCAATGTTTTTATTAAGAAGATGTGGGTGATGAGACTGTGTACCATTTTAATTTAGCAAGATTTAGTCTAATGTTTGTAATGGCTTTTTCACACTCAACAAAATCCACTGGGCTCATCTTCATTTCCCATCCAAGTGAAGCCAAATGCTAAATAGCCACCATTGTGCTTTGCCTTTTTTTAATTGGCACATGAACATTCAGATAAAGGAGCTGGTGGAAATATCTGTGAAGCAATTACTATTGATGATATCTGATCAGTGTCATTTACTGTCATTAATATTAACCACAGTTGTTTCCTTTTCAGTTCTCTGATACTTAACCACTCATCCATTCTAAAAATTGGACTTACTGAATTAAAAATTTTATACAAAATCATTGGAAAAGGCTTGACAAAAGAATGGCACACAGTGTATTAAAAATGACTGGAGATAATAACAAAAGAATCCAGTTTATTCTTATTTAACAGAAATCTTTAAAAACTTATTTGATTAATAATAAAAAATATTGCAAAGTAAATATCTTCATTAATAATAAATTAATCATAATCATTAATAATAAATCATTAATTTATTTTAAAATATCACTATATAACTATTTAAGGTCCCAGAATCATTTCCGAAAACGAAACATTCAAAAAGATTTACACGTTAAGTCATTAGAAACATGCATGAGACGTTGTTGGTCCTACTAGCATGTATGAAAAACATACCTGCCATCGATGAGAGAACTAAGAGAAAAGCAAGCAAGTGCTGACATAAGAACAGCTCACTTTACATACTCACAGTGATATAAACTCTACAGCGAACATGAATCTATTTTCCGTATACATTGACTGAACAGTTGGAAAACCATAACTCTTCTTGCACGCGTGTCACTGCTGGTGCTGCATTACAGACATTGGCAGCCCACGCAAAGCTTCTGATTAATTTTCAAAGATAATTAAATGTTTCTTAATATTTTTTAGTATAACTATATTTTTAGTTTACTAGTTAACTAGTGTGAGTGCTTTATAATTTTCTTTTTGAATTTCTATATTCAATCGCAGAACCCCAGGTTTCTGCAAAGTGCGGGTTGATCATGGGCAATATATTTGTCTAATAACCTGCAGAAGTTTGTATTGCACATATATAACCTGCTTAAAAGAGTCTTCTGCATGATGCGTTTTATGTGATTCTTGAGATCAACCAGTGATTTGATTTATATGGTAAACACGATGTTCAAGTATAGTCTATTCACCAAGAGAAAAGACTTGGCCATGCCTACTTCACATGGTATCATCTTACTTTAGGTAAACCAAGGATAGCTTTTTAACAATAGAATTTGCATTCATTCATTTCCAAGTTTGGATGGGTTCTGTGCATCTCTCCTTGAAGTGAAATTAACTGCCCTTTCTAACAGGTGAAGTCAAGATCCTTCTTATAGTGGACAGACTATATTCTTACTGTAAGGGATCTCTTGAGGATACTGACATTGACAGTCCTGCTGACTAATGTTCCCAATTCTGAATATTAATTACCAAGAAGAGAAGTCAGAATAATTCAGCAACATATCTGTGTTAAATTTTAATTGACAAGCTTTGAAAGAAGGTTAAGTAGCTTGACAAAGTCTTCACTAACTGTAATAATAAGACATTTAGCAATTTCAAAGAAATATCACCCCTTGATGCCAAACCATATAGTGCTGCACTAGACTGTAACACATTTATTATATAGCTGTTTATGATATAAGTAGAGAGTTTCTAGTGTGCAGTATTGGAAACATTGCTTGTTTACTCTTCAAAATTTGTGTCATTATGTGTCATAAAATTATTCAAGATCTGCAGGTTGACTGCCTGGTGTTACAGAGAATTTGTATCATCTGCGTTTTACATTAAATAACATGCAGATCATCATAAGCTAAAACGTACCTGAAGCTAAGAAGCTGAAACATAATGATAAAACACAAACGCCATCATAAAGCTGATGCCATTTGTGACCTTGAATATGCAGAGTTTTCCCAGCATATGCTACATTACTGAAGTATTTCACCTAGCATAAAATTTTCCTATTTCTCTTAACCTCTGTGATGTAGAAAGTTCCTTTGTGCAATGATCAGTAAACTTACTGTTTTTAAAATGCCTTCATGTACAATTTTTTAATACTTGATGTGTCTACTGCAACACCATTTTTACAAATATCAATTTTTCGTTAGTCTAACCCATGTGTATATTTTGCACATGTGAAGATAGCCACCACATTGCATACACTTATCAAAACTTATACATTTTGCATAAACTTCTGAGTGTGCTATTCTTTGTATTGTTCACAGTTCAAAACATTTTTAGGCAATGCATTTATTTGATTTGTGTGCTACAGAAAAAAAATATGCATGTAGAAATTTGTAGTAGAAGTTAACGTTAAGGTGAATGTATATAAGATACTGACAGTGTTCATATGACTAAGCAGAAGCAGTTTATTAAAATTAGTGGTACTTATTCTGAAATAAGTTGTTATGAATTTAATTTTCACTTATTTGATGTGTGAAAGCATAACAATGAAATATGAGCAAGAAATTTAAAATGGTTTTTGCTTTTGTAGAAGCATGCTGTCATACAACTTTGTGTGTGTGTGTGTGTGTGTGTCTGAGAGAAAGCGAGCATTTTGTTTCTTATAAAATAAGTTTGTGTAGCAGTGTAGCATTTTACTTATTTTTACAGAATGTTTGCTCCTAAATGTGCTGCTTGTGGACAAGCTATTACTCCTGTGGAGGTAATATATTTTTTATTATTTTCTGTAGTCACATAATTCTAATTAATTTTTCTTGCTTTGTTCTAAATAAATAGATTATTACTTTTTTTGATTTGCTTAAACACAAAGAACTAAAAGAAGCATTTTAGATTCAATGCATTCAAATGCTCCTAAAAAAGTTTTCATTCATTTGTGAAAAATTATAACAATCACCTGTATTAAAATGACATTATCATTTTATGTATTTTCTAAAGTGACATATCAGGAGAGAAAAAGTGAACATCCATTTTATGTATTTTTTATACATATAATAGCATTTGAATTACTACACTTATAAGATGATCGCTAAATATTTTAGCAATATTTCAAAAAACTGTATGGTTTCTAAAAGGATTTCATTTCTTTTAACTCAGAACAGTAGCAAATAAGTTTTAAAATATTTCATTTAAACTGCAAATCAGTGTCTTTGAACATTCTTTGAGGGCTCGGAAATTACTAGATATTTAATATGTTAAATTTATGGCTTGTTGAAATTACAGTCAGTGTCAAGATAATCATAATAATATTTTGGAAATTTAGATATTCTGTCCATTTTGTTTGTTCAAATGTTATCAGGTATTACTTCGTATTTATTTCTGAAGATTGTTCTGTGTGACATTTTTCTGCTGAATTTTTTGTTATCTTCTTTCATCCAACTGATGTTCAGTTGCAAAGAAATGAATGGGGATTCTTCTTGAACTGTTATGTTATTCGAAATTGCCTCCATGTTACTTGTGCAGTATAATTCTGTCTATAAAAATTTCCAGTTCTTCAATCTGACCTAACATGTGTGTTTTCCCTTGAGATAATTTGATAACTGTATAATTAAAAAACAATAAAATATATTTCTTTTTTGTAAGAAAGCAGTTGTATTTTTGAGAATCTTTTGCTTTTGTCTTCCCTTCCGTTGTATAAATTAACAAGTTACAACTGAATAAACTATGCAATCCTGGAATTACTGTACTCTGATTTAGTGACTTACTGTACATAAATTTGTAAATAATTTTTAATGTAGTGAATATTCATAAAATTTAATATTTTAAAATTATATAATTAATTTATGGTAGAAGGAAACTAAGTTTTTTATATTAATTAAAATTTATATTGTTGCAAAATAAGTATTAAGAAAATGAAGTTATTAGCATCATTGAAAGGAAGCCTGCAACCTGTTCATGTGCTGTGTTAAAATGTTTTTGTAGCATTTAACATATATGCTGTCCAGTACAGGTCCGCTGTAATATCCACTCTTTTAGTGATTTCATAAAAGTCAAGAAAGAAAAATGCACATCTCTCTGATTTTGTAGAAGTTTTGGTTTTTCTGGAGTGGCAGTTCGTAAAGATTTTTTTTATAGTCTTTGGAGTTGGTTCAGTTGTATCGTTATCTTTCTCTGTGAATAAAAATACTGGTTTGATACAGTTCAAAACATTAATTTTTCTCTATCCTATTTACAGTTTGAAAATTTTTTTCTGTGTATTGTAATATTAAATAAAATCCAATACAAGTAATTTTATCATTGCATCATGCCCGGACACATAAATATAACACAGTAGCTCTTTGAAACAAAGTGCATTTTCACATGTATGGTTGCTTGTAGCTGATAGTATGAAGAGGCACATATGAGCAATATTTTCTGTTGGAAAAAAGCATCAATCCATGAATGTATGCATTTTGATTAGTATATTTCCATGATCAGCTCATCAAATTCACCGTTCCAGTTTAAAATTTATGACTTACCTTTTAGTGTACATCAGCAATAGAAATATGTTTGCAGTCGAACATGTATCATCCTATAAAGAATCATCAGAAGGAACAGAATAATTCGTATTGTTTTTAACTTAAAAAAATATCTATTAATTAGGTTTATTTGTAATTTTCAAAGAAAATTGTTTTATATCAAACTGAGTCACTGATTAACTGTACATGAGAGATAATGGTATAAGAAATCCCCAATGATATTGATTTATTTGCTAATGTGTTTGTGAGCAATTCGAAGACCGTGCTGAAGGGAAAATGCATTGGTACATATGGGTATAGCCTGGGTCATCTACTGGGATGGCCAATATAACAAACAGCTTTGGTAGTGTCGCTTATAAAGACAACTGTGTATCATATAGGAGCAATGTCATTTTCCCTTTATTTTTGTAACAAAAACAGCAGGATGGACTGTTAGTTTTGAAGCTTTTGGATTTACTGTCTCTGAAACTGAATTTATTTTCATCAAAGAGCTGGGCTGTTATCCGTAGTCTCACCTTCAGAACTCTAAATAACCCCTTTAAAAATCCACAAATACTTTAGGTGCAAATAGTACAAATAGAAAGGAGTTGTAAAAAATATTAGAAGCCCCATCTTTTTTCAAATGTTTAAAAAAATACCAGGAGCATTGTGAAAAGGATAAAAGTTAGCTTTGCACAGAAATAAAACTCAGAGCAGACCTTGCCAAAAATGGCATCATTCTAAAACTTTAAAATTTGAAGAATGAAAATATTTATTTTTTCTAATTAAAAATAAAATTTAAAGGGACCTCTACCCCACTAGGTGCATGTTGCTGCCTGTGGCTAGTATCATCACTAATAAATTTATGAACTAATAAAAATTTGGTCAAATTTAAGGTGTCACTTTGCACCCTTTTGAATTTGATTTAGATTAAAGTTTTGCTGCATTAATTACTTTAGTTGATTACACCACATTAGATCATATCAATGATACGGTATTTATGTGAAGCATACTCATTTTAAGTTACTTAATTTTTTGCCTCTTTCCCTTTCTCTTGGTAATGGGAAAAGTAATCATCTTAATTTTTTTAACTTTTATCCTCTAGGGAACTGATGAAACAGTTCGTGTTGTGTCTATGGATAGAGATTTTCACGTAGATTGTTATGTATGTGAGGTAAGTCATATTTTCTATTTTCTTTAAATTGATAATAGATGTACAGTTGTGCAAATTGCTTTTCTGATTCAGTATCTGAAGTTTTAATTATTCCTAATTTACATACATGGTCCTCCATTTTTAAAATTTTAATTATTATTATGTTATGTCAGCCCTTGAAGTTTTATATGATGCTATAGGTCATTTTCAGATGATATCTGATGATTTGGAGTCATAATGAGTGAATGAAGTGTTCAGGCTGTTTGAATAGGACATAGTAGCTAAAACCTAAACATGAATCATTCAGAGAAGTTTTTGTGTAATTGATTATGCTGTTTCTACAATAGAGACATGAAGTTATTATATACTCTTAACTCTGTCATTAGTTTGATAGGCCGAGAAATTGACTAGTCAGATTAATTCGTAATATCAAAGGAATTCATCAGCTGTGGTGTCATTGCTTTTGAAGTCATGAGTCATTTATTTCAGCAAGGTGGCTTTTGATTATTTACTGTAAACAATAACAGGCAGGACTCAAACGGTTTCTATCCTATGTAGCACAGTGCAGGAACAATCAATATGTCCTGCAATAACAGCATTCTGTTTTATACTAATTATATTTCCTCTGCCACGGGAAGAGTCAACAGCAATATATCCCTTTAGTGATTTTAAATTCTAACATCTTCTGGCTCCTGGCAAAGACTTTTATCATAAATATACAATCTTGCAATAAAATAGTGCATGTTATACTCTTACAAAATTTTGTAGCATACAACATAGCATGAATGATTGTATTTAAACCACATTTTCATCATACTAGCTACTGTTATATATTTCATCTTACCAACTACTGCTATCTAAATGCAAATAGAGAAAATACAATTATTATCAAACCATAATTAATTATTAATTAACATAAGTAATTAATATATTAATTAACATAAGTAAACAAATTTCAGTTATCAAAAGAAATACTAAATAGTTTCCTGAAATTCTGAAAACGGTTATTAATCAACCTTTGCAAGTTCCAAATTGTATTACATTTTGATAGGCCTTTTTATTACACCTGAAGAAGTTTTCACTGTGATACTTCCTGCCTATGTTGTGACGGCCTCTATGCAGCTTCACCTTTCCGAGCTTCCACAGCCGTGCAAGTAATTTGTCATCCTCTATCAGAACTAAAATCAGTGGTTACGTTAACTGGTTTGACAAAATTTGTGCCTTTAACTGGTGAAGACACTCTCTTTTCCATTGTCTCCAAAAATCATGGAAGATTTTTTTCCTGATACAAATATCTCATAAATTAAAACACTTTGGTTACTTGCAGTATTTTCTCTAACATGACCACCCTGATGTGGTAAGGATGTTAGCTTTTTTCCGGTTAGGAAATGAGGAGGATTAAGGGGAATGCCTCTGATGGTTCATTGTAATTGTAAGTAAGTGGCCTAGTTTAGAATCGCTTCTATTTTTCTCAGAATGGTTTAGGCTTGCATCGTGGAATATATGTACTTCCAGCTGCTGAATTGTCAACTAATCAAAATATGGTCAGTTTGTGGCTGAAACACAGATTCTGATTCTGTTGGAATATCTTCATCCTATTTTAAGCCCTTTTACTTAAAGAATCTGCACTGTCAGTTTAATTGTAAGACTAAATGGTTCAGTTCAATCCAATGGATTGAATAACATGCCACATATACTCAATACTATATGTATTGTTGGTGTCACATATTTAAATTTTGAAATTTCATTTCTATCTTCAAAGTGTCTTTATCATCATCCCGAATTAATCCTGTTACCTTTAATGGTTTATTTGTTTGATTCAGTGGCATTGCCATTCAGTTTGGTTTTCCTTCTGATTTCATTGAGGATCGTTCAATTAAAAAACACTGCTGTGAAGTCATGCTTCCTGTATGAATTTATCTCTTGCTAGGGATACGGCTTCTTCGACAATTTATGTTCTGCGTATTAAATCATCAACATAAAGTTCTTTCAAAATAGAACTGACTTCACTGTGTGAATTTTCTTATGTCTTCAGGTGGAATCGTATAGTTGCTGTCGAAATTAAAGGACATCATTTGACAACAAAAGGAACACTTGTCATTAGTAAAATTCTGATATCACAGGCATTGAAATCAAGCTCGGTTCCCCTCTCATTTCTACATAAAATTTGCAAAACATTTTTTTGCCTCATATACTATGCCAGTCTAAATGTTCTTTGAATATCAGACACAAAACATGATTGAGTTATATAGAAATCTCAAAATAATCCTAAGCAAATCTGAATTAAGATTATCACTACTGTCTAAGCAATTATTGAGCAACTATACTGATTTACATACTACAGCATGATGAGGCATAAAATATGGGATTTTTCTATCATCATCCCCATGAAATTTAACTTGCTTAACAGTACCATCCCTTAACTGCTCATTAATAATTTCTTTATCACAAACATACAAACTTGGTGCATGCCTAAATTTATTGCTTAAGAATATTAAACATCTTTCTGCAACTTTGTAATTACTGTTCAGTGCATTATAATCCTCCATAATTTTGTTTCATACCTCCACTTTTTATATGGGATATTTCTTTTACACATGTCTTGACATCTGCATCTGATCATGAAATTTCCTTTTCTTGATTTATTCCTATAGCTTTCAAATTTTACAGATTAGGAACTCTTTCGAATTTTGTTTCTTCCTCCACAGATATATGGCTTATCAAAGTCACTCCTCAAAGCTCCGCTGTTGACGAGGCATATTGACTGCTAATTAAATGTTCACCGCAGACAGAGGATGATAAATAGATTTCAGTGAAACATTATATACATGGAACAAGCAGCCGGTTCTCATAATTTCAATTATAATCATGCATTCTTCATAATGCTGGAATGTTGGTGCATGTCTTAACAGAATCAATTAACAACATTTTATTCATATGTGAGCTTATAATCGAATCTATCTGTTCAAATCTTTCTTTTAACAACTTAATTGAAAAATCATAATTTTCATTTGTTAATGAAAATCCCAAAACTTCTGACAAGGCAGTACCTTCTAAAAATGTTTTCAAATAAGAAAACTTTTCAACCTTACTTTCAATCAGCTGGTTTTTCTGGTCATAAACATCATCAAGAATTTGTTCTTTGCTCTAAATTTCATTTAAAGGTTTATTTATTGCATCTTCAATCTTTGTTAAAAGATTACAAAAAAAAAAAAAAAAAAAAAAAAAAAAAAAAAAAAAGAAAGAAAGAAAAGAAAAGAAAAAAAAAAGAAAAGAAAAGAAAGAAAAACTGTTTAACACAGTTTTGTTTCTGCTTTAGCCTAACTTTTGTGTCATGTTTGCAAAAAGTACTTTGGTTTCAATACTAATTTTCTAATCAAATCAGAACAACTAAATAATCATATCACCACTATGAATTCAAGTTTTCCTATGACATACAAAATCATAACACCTCAAAGATTGAATCTAAAGAGACCTTTAAGTGTTCAGTCACATATTTCACACAAGGTGACTTTTAATTATTTATTGTAAACAATAACAAACAGGATTCAAACAAATAATTATATCCTATGCAGCACAATGCCAGATCATTCTGTACATTCTGCAGTTATAGCTTTCTGTTCTAATCATAGTTCACCCATCATGAGAAAAGCCAACAGCAATTTATCTCTTTAAAGATTTTATGTTTTAACATCAGACACCTGTAGCAACTCATGTAAATATTAACTTCTGTCTCAGTTTGGAACGATCAACATCAAGAGTTTTTTTATCAGGAAGCCCTTGGTGCTGATGAAAATTATCAAGCTGCTGCTCAAATTTAATTACACCAACCAAATGTTCATTGGATATGGTAAAGATACTATCACATTTGGACTTTAGGATTTATAGAAAAATGTTATTTGGAAAACTGAATTGTGGTGTATGATCTGACATTCCTGTAGATAAGCTTGGATTAGTTGATGGTCAGTGAGTAGCATTTGCAGGGTCATGTTTTATTTGGCAGTAAAATTTATGAAAGTAGCATATTAATGGCCAAGGTTGTTTTATTCTGTCTTGTTTATTATCATTTATTGATTTATTTATTTGTTGATATTTAATATCAATCAGAACATTTTAAGCACAGCCTAAATACAACTTTGGCCCATTAAATATATTTTGGAATAAATTAGAGAGTTATTTGTATGTAAATATACATGATCAATTTTTATTGATTAGCTTTTTGCAATGTTATAAAATGAATTAAAAGAAAAATACCATTGCCAGTTACAAGAACTTGGTGCAGAATTTATCTAAAAAGTAACAGCTGCAATGATAAAGCTAAAAGGAAAGACCTTAACTTTTGACGTGGCTGTAATTCAAGAAAAGTCAGTAGTTATTGTCCAATAATTTTTAGATGTAGAACATAAAGCAAATTATATTTTTTGTAGTTATTTTCTTATGTAAATCCAATAATTCCTAAAATGTATTTTATGTTATTCAGAAATATCTAAGGTATAATAACCTTAAAGAAATTTAAAAAGGAATTCTGATCATTGTCATGTGTGTATATTCATTAGGTTATGCATTTACTGTATGCTGGTAATAGACATTATAACTAATGAAGAATTTGATATTCTTAATGCTTCAAAGTAGAGTTTTCTGAAGATCTAAAATGGTCTTTTTTATTAAAATATTTTGTATATTACTATCTGTACTTGAAACACAACTAATTGAATGCATTATCAAGGTTGAGAACAACTGATTTGCGCATATCTCTGTGCACTTCTTATTAGATATATATATATTGTTGTGTGTTTATGGGTTTGTAATAGATTGAATGTGCACAGCCCCAATGATAGGCCGATAAAATTTATTTTAGAGGGAAAAAAAAAAAAATCAGAGATCTGGAACTTTCCATAAGAATGGTTATACAACTCTTCACAGTATCATAATCAGTAGTTACATTTTAAACAACCATGAATGTTAAACACAAAGCACTGCAGAGTGCAGCTAAAGAATGAAACTAAACCGGAAATAGTACTCGGAACTCGGACTGAGCTAACGGCTAACATCATGGCCTTATATAGTTTTCACACGGGTATCGAAATAGTTCTAGTACTGTTGCTTCTTGAAATTACTGGTAATATGATGGTCACACTGTAGTTACAGTTAATTCAGTGATCAATTGCGTTTGCTCAATTACCATACATATTATGGTAGTACAGGGACCAGCCCCAAATGCCGCCATATAGTCGCCAAGTTTGGCGACTTTTAGCGACTTCTCTTGAAATTTTGGGATGAAAATTTGTCGCCAAAACCATCGCCAGTTTGGTGATATCTTGTGAAATACCAAGATACCCATTTATTCATTGTTAAACAGACTTCCCACTGAATTTTTACTTTTCTGGTATGGCTTCTCTCTCTCTGTTTTTCATGTTACATTAAATAGAAAAATACATAACATGAAAAAATGTCATTTAATATGAGAAAAATGTCATCTAATATGAAAAAATGTCAACTGCACATGCATAAAGCATTAATTTTTTTTTTTTAAATTATGATACTATTCTGGATATGATAAAAACATGGAAAATAAATATCGATCACAATTTACTATCGAAAAATTTAGGTTCATTGTTAAGGATTGGTACAAATGAGTTTGACCTATTATTTCAAATTTCTCATGAAATAATCACAAACATTCAAGATTGCACATCTCATATTAAGTATATTAATTGAGAATTGCTTTTACAATACAGTATGTGTAATAAAAATAAAAATGTATACAAAACTATAAATTTACAAAAATAATTCATTAATTCTCCATGCTTTCCCCCCACCTTGAAATTCATATGTACACTGCTAAAAAAAAAAGGGGGGGACAGTCCTATATCTCCCGTTCTACTGGGGCGATTCACGAAATTCAAATGTCTCGAAAGCGCGACTTAGGATATATATTAGATTTATATATAGCACTATTCTAACATAGGTATTTTGACACAAAATCGGACTTTTTCTGAAATAACATACCAAATTGTTAATATTTCGATTCTTACGACTCAAATTAGGCCAGAATACCAAGTTTTGTAAAAATCGTACGAGTATAGTTTTTGAAATATTAGCTCTCAAATTTTAGCTCCTCATATTAATTGAATTGGCAAAATTTATTTATATCTCTTTTTTATTAAACTTTTTTGATTTTTCTCTCACATTTTGAAATTTAGGTTCATTCCAAATTAAAATTTACCCATTTTTTGTGTTTATTTTTTAAAATTTCTAATTTTAAAAATTTTTATAAATTTTTGGAAAAAAATTTGAATTATAACCTATAAAATTTTTACCATATCTTAAAGTAGGTATATTTTTAAGCATATCTGCAAAAAATTAGACTTTTTATCAAAATTTTCTAAGATATACACAAATTACATATTTTCGCGTTTTGAAATTTGGCATCTTTTTTTGAGCGATAATAACGCCAAATGTGGTCTATGGCTTTTTGTTAACTGTAATTGCCACGCTATTTTTAACCATAAATTTCAAGTAAAATTTTACGGAGAATTAATTATATGACATTTTTCCCTCAGTGATGCGTAATAAATATTTATTAATACTATATGAAAAGCTATTTTTCTTTAATTTTAGATGATATTATTCAAATTTTTAACTATTTTTTAAAATTTCTCCCTATCTTTTTTTTTCCTTTTTTTTTTTAAAAGAAAATTTTGTAAGAGTAAATTTTTACCTTCGGCGTTTTTCGTCTGCTACTTTACTTTGTTTAAATCGAATTGTCTAAAACTGAGAATTTTCGTTTGATGTTTATTTGAATTTTATGACATTAACTGCACAATTTATTTCTAAACAAACTGATGCTTTTGAAGTGGCTGAAAGAGCGGCTGGTACTATCATCCATATTTTTAAAGCACAGTATATTTTTATAGAAACATAAGATTTCGAATATCATTTTTATAAAAAGTCAATTATGATATAAATATACAACCCTCTAGAGACTGAATTAATGGAAGTTCATGTTTATGTAGAAATGATCTGCAGCTACTTATCGCTGGATAAGTCAGCAGATTCCATGGACAAGTAAGAATAATTATATAAACGACACCCAACATTCTGAATTCAATTAACAACGAGGATACGATATTATTAAATGAATTCAAGAAGTTTTAAAAACATAAAAAATCAACTCATTTTTTATCCTAAAAATTTTTTTTTGTGCGTAGCGTATTTTCATTATCTAATTTAAAATTCTAATAATTCTTAAAATTCTAATTTAGAATGTAATTGTCAAGAAACTGATTCCTAATCATCAGTAATATAATAAGTAATTATTACGGTTATTAATAAATCCTTCTTATAAAGTAATTGCAAATATTTCAAAAAACTTTCTGTCTGAATGCAAATATTTTTCTGTGCAAATATTTTAAATTTTATATTAATCAAGATTGCACACGATATTATTTATTTGCACTTCAATTCTTAACGTCAGTTCTAGTTAGAAATGTAAATTTAAAGTAAAAAAATTTGAAGTTAATTTGCAATAATAAACAATTCATTATTGCTATTTTTAAGAGAAAACAGTTGTGTGTGTGTGAGATTATGGCAAAGCCTCGAGGGTTATCTGCCTAAGGGGAGGGATGCCTTCATGGAAAACTTTCTAAGGAAAACTGGCTCATATACACGTTACACATCGGGAAAACCACGGAAATACCCATGCAACCAGCCCGTTCGCGGGATTCGAACCTCGGACCGAACTACCAGTGATCAGCGTCTTTACCGCTCGGCCGTTTGTGGGCCTTTATGAAATGGAAGGCGATAACTTTATTTAAAAATGATTGTCAGAAATACCAAAATGTTTCGAAAAGTTGGATACTTTTTAATATACTTTTCAGAATGCTTAAAGAAAAGAGAAGAAAAATAATTTTTTCGTAAAATTTAGTATTTGTATTTTTTAAATTTAAAACTTTTCAATGTTATGATATTTGATTCTTGCAATTTCAAAAATAAAATATTTGACTAAAATATGAATAACATTTTAAGAAACCAAATGTAGGATAAAATTGTGTAAAGCAATGGGCACAATGATAAAACTGTTTAAAGCAGTGTATGCAAGTCATCCTAAGTTAAAATGTCGGTTATACATCTCTCTTATTTATATATATCTTTTCTGAACGGAACATTGAAAGGCGTGTAAAACTGTGCTTTACTGTATTTTCTCTTTTAATATAGTCATCGTAGTCTATAGTAGTAGTAGTAGTAAAAACTCATCGTAGTCTGGGTTACAAAGTATTCTTCCGAAAGAAACGCAGTTCAAATAAATAAAATCAAATTCTGGAAAATTGATATTAATAAATATATTTAAAATGCTCAGTTCAAAGTAATAAATAGAAAATTTTAAAAAAATTATCTGAAGAGACAATGCAACACAAACAATTAAAATAAAAGTATAAAAATTTAAAAATTACCTAAAATAATAACTATGACGAAAAAGATATATAAAGAAAACTATTTGAAAAAAAAAATAAACGCTGCACCTTTATTTACGCAGTTGAATAGGTAAATAGAAATTTTTAAAACAGTTATTCGAAAAAAAAAAAAGTGCAACTTAAACAATAAAATGAAATTCGAAAAAAGAAAAAAATTACTTAAAATAATAAGTTATAATTAAAAATATAATATAAAGAATATTATTTGGAAAAAGGAACAATGACTTTTTCCCTCTCACGGGAAAGGAAACTAGGTTGCCATATATTAAGAAGAGTCGCCAAGTGAAGTATTCTTGGCGCAAACTGACAAAAAAGTGCCAACAAATTGTGAATTTCTCCATAAATTTCGCTTCAAATTTTACAAAATTTCGTATTTAGGCGTGATTTGAGTCGTAGAATCGAAATATGTAAAAAATTGGTATATTATTCAGAAAAGTCCGATTTGTGGTCAAAATACCTATGTTAGAATAGTGCTATATATAATTCTAATATATATCCTAAGTCGCGCTTTCGAGACATGAAGAACGCAATTTGAATTTTGTCAATCGGCCCAGTAGATCGGGAGATATAGTATAGCACTGTCCCCCCCCCCCCGTCTTTTTTTTTTTTTTTTTTTTTTTTTTTTTTTTGAGCAGTGTACATAGGGTCCGTTGTAACCCTGTGTTTACTGTCTGAGGCTAGTAAAGTCACAAATATTATATTAGTGCATAAAATGCTGTTTAAAATTGTAATGTTATGTTTTAAAAAATTTCTATTGGAAGCATGTGCCCCCCCCCATCTTAAATGACCTCTTGGCAAACAATAGGGGCAGTGCAAAAGATGGCACACAAGCATCATTGTACCTTGCAACAGCTCTGCATGATGTTACACTGAAAAAGATCTTTTGGCCCATGATTAAAAGTATTTGTCCACCTCTCGCATGCAGTATATGGTTTAGCATATGCATATCACTGCATAGTTTATTATATTTTTAGCCAATCAATAAGTTAACTTCAACATTTTAGATTATTTAAGTATTTTGTATTTTTTGTACTTCAAGTTTCTCTCTTTCAAAATTTATATCTGTATTCATAATTTATATCTGTATTCATACCATTGTTTTAGATGTTTTGAAATAAATTCTTTTTTTAATAGGATTGTGGCTTACAATTGACAGATGAACCTGACAAGCGGTGCTATCCTCTAGATTGCCATCTACTTTGCCAGGAATGTCATGTGCATCGCTTAGAGGTTATGAGCAATCCAAGTATTAGCTTACAGTGATATATAGCAATTGTCAAATAGTTTCAGTAAATGTAATAAGAATTAGTCTCAAGGAATATATATTTGTGCATTTGTCACAATATGAAATGCCTTGTCAAGAATGTGTTATTAAAAGAATTCCATTTGTAATATTCTTTTGTACATTGTTTTCTTATTGTGGTGTTCCTTTTTGTTTTCTTATTGTGGTGTTCCTTTTGTTTTGTATACTTGTAATGCAGAAAATTGAATTTTTTCATATTTTTTTCCTTTGCATCATTAAGAAAAATGTACTTTTTATTATTGACTTCCTGAATTTATAATTTTTCTCATTTTAACAAATATCGTTAGCAAATAACATTTGGAACTCTGAAATAATGAAAATAAATTGTAGAAAGGAATTGAAATAGCTTTTGTAACATGTCAGTTGATAATCAGATTGTTTTTTCATTTTAAATATTATATATCCTGAATGAGAGAAGCTTTTCATCAAAAAAATAACTTATCTATATTATTTTCTATCATTGTGATAATTTTGTGTGAATGTGTAGTATTATAAATTGCATTTCATTAAAATTGCTTAGTTTTGTAATTTAAATCATTGAAGTTATTACGAATATTGTGCAAAATTAATTGATGTGGCTGAACCAAGATATAAAATAAAAAGAGGAAGAAGTAGCAATTACAGAATGAAAACAATAAGTAGAAGAAGAGCATTTTAACTGCATTTATGTATTTAAATATTCTAATAAACTACTTTTTTTAAAAAAAAGATCTCTTTAAGAAATTGAAAAAAAAAAAAGTACGTTCTACATTTTGAACTTTTTATTATTTATTTTTAAGATCTGTAAATAAAAATCCTGATTAGGAATTATATGTATATGTAATATAACATTGTGCTTTATTGTGTTATAAATGTATTTGTGAATGTAATGTAATAGTGTAAATTATTTATCTTGTAAATAATACATGAAATGTTAAGGGGCAACATTTTTCACTTTTATGTAAAGTGACTTTCTTGATCCTCAGTTTGAATGCCTTTTAAGATTTGAAAAAAATTAAATTTTAGAATTTGATATGTGTTGTAAAAATTTTTAATTATTTAATTCCTGTACTAATTAATATAATAATTTAATTAACATTTCCTTTAAAAATAAATTAAGCATATGCCTTGATGTAAAAAGGCAACATATCTGTATTAAAAATAGTCATAAAATTAGGGAATTCATATATAATTTATTATACCAACATTTGTAAGACTTGGATAAGTTCACGCAGAACTTCTCAAGAACTGAAAAATTCAAGAATAAAATATGAAGCTAAATCTGTTAGTAAAACTGCTCAATAGATTTTCAATGAAATATTATTTTCTTTAATACTCTTAAGTTCCCATTCACTTTTAATATTCTGGAAAGTCAATGAAGTGAAAAAAATTAATAATTTTTTAATAGGATAAAAATTAAAACTTTTATCTGAAAATTTCGGAAACCTAAAAAGAAGGGAAGATCAGTCCTCTCAAATAATAAAAGTTCAGCTTTTAAATTGTATGCAGCAAAAAGGGAAGGGGGACCTATATTGAAAAGAAATGGAGAAGAAATACTATAGCATTGATTTTCTTTCATAAAGCGAACCATTTCTTTCATCCATCTCAATATATAATTATCTTATTCTCATATGTGTATTTTTTGTTTTGTTTGAATAAGAATTTCAATAATGATTTTTTCAGTTCCCATTTTTTTCTTGGGGAGGGGCATTTCTTATAGAAATTGTTTACTTGAGATAGTCCCCCCCCCCATTTTTTTATGAGTGAAATAATTCAAAATAATAACTTGTATTGATGTTTACTGAAATAGCATGTGTTAAGTATAAATAAATGTATACTGTACATGCTAGTAACTGAATTATGCATGCTACATTGAGGTGTAAGTTAGTACAGTAAAACACCAGTGAAGCGCAAAGGGTTAAAACTGCATTTACTATCTGTAAAGCAAATGAATGGTGATGTATTCTACCATAGTTGAGTTATTTTTTATCTACCGTATGAAGTATGCAGCTACAGTTTGTGAGTAATAAAATCTTTTCATAAAAATTAATACGCTTTTTTATGTGAACATAAACTAGAAACTTCATTTATAAACAAATCAGTCTATTTTATTTTCTAACTGAAAAATAATAGTATACATTTAAAATACAAATGAGATAGATTTGACATACGGATAACTGTTTTTGGGTGTGTTTCGAACAGTATAATGGTAACTCCTGTTTTTTCATATTGCAGTATTCAAACCTGTAACCAAAACTGAAAATCAACACACACTAAATTCTAATAAAAATATAATTTATATAAAATAATAAATTTCAGTTTTAAAAGATTATCTATCACCAGTATTGTGCATAAACTTGCTAACTGAAATTCTAAATTATATGTCTGCTGTTATAAAAGCAAACATAAGAGTATTATTTATGTGGATAGAAAACTTTTGTTTATGTGTTGATTTATTTGAAGTCATATGCATTAGAAAATGTTCTGTAATTGTAATTTTATGCATAGAAAAAATGCCAGATTAAAACTATGCTTAGTTATATCTATACTTTTTTTTTTTCCCCCATGAGGAGAAAATGGTTATTCATATAGAAAGAAGTAACATTGTAATGCTGAAACTTTATGTGACTGAAAATTTCTACAGACACCTTTGAAGTACAGTAATGCCGATTAATGTAATCATGTTGTCCCATGATTAAACCTAATGATAAGAAAACAATATATCTTGAAAAAAATATCTGCAGTTTAACTAATTTAATGGAATTAACTTTATTTCTAATTAAAATATTGTATGAAATTTTAATTAGGAATAAAAACTGAAAATATTCGTAGTGGCCTGTCTACGGTTGTTACACACATAAGTTTACAAACTTTATATTTTAAAGTATTTCTGGAAATGTAGTAATGCTACATATCTAATTTTATCTTGAGCAGAGTGCTTTTTTCCTCTCAAACACTAACAGGAAATTCCTTATCTGTTTCATTATTATGATTTTCAATATGTTTCTCATGTATTGTACTCTTAAAATCTGTTTAAGAAAGCGATTTTCTCTTCTATCAGTACTGCAGCGTAATCTCTTTCATCATCATGCATCAAAGCTTCAAGTTTCTTAAGATGCACAGTAATGAAAGTTGTTACATTTATACTTCATCTTTTTATCTTGTAATTTAAAGTTTGTCATTTTTAAAACAGTTCATCTGTTTTGAGATTCAGTGTTCAGCAGATGCATGCATAAAGTAAATTAGTTTTCTTTGGTTGCTCATTTGCCATTAAACATCCATTTTTTTCAGTGTTATGCAGGATTCTAGTCATCTCGGGATGATGAAAATATCCTCTCATAACTCTAATAATCCTTTAATCACAGGGTTGATTTATGGTTGTAATGTTCGCTGGAAGAAAGACATTTATGTTGTGCAATAGCTAGTAAAAGGATAACATTCTTTAGTTCAGTATTCCATATCAAGATCCATTCGTTAAAAATTGTCAGTCATACCTCTAAATTACTTGATTTTCTAGTTTTGTAATATCATTCTAATTGAAAAATTTTCATCCAGCAGCATTTTGACCACTCTAAATGATTCACTGATTACAATAAATGATTGAATCCCTGTTTCACGTGTGCAATCAGATGGAATTTAGATGATTCTCTAATAGTATTTGTTAAGTTCTTCAGAAACTCCTGGTTGAATTGCATAAATTAAATAACTGTATCAGAGTCTCTATAAAACAATTATTTGGAAAATTAATTTTTGCATTAGTTTTCATTTCTTTCAATTTTGAAATGTGTTTAAACTATGGTATAATAAACATATATTTCCATGTCAAATTAAGACTTATTATACGTTTTTGTTGCTGTTATAGTTTGGAAATTATTATCTTTTGCAAGGCTTGTTTTCAATTTCAAATTTGCCAGAATTGTGTTGTATCATTGTACAGCTCAAACTTTGCATTAAATATTTAGTCTAGTTCTAATTTGTAAGATATGTTGCACTAGTTTAAATCATTTGCAGAATGTGCTTGTAAATACATACATAACTTGTATTAATTTATTTTGTGCAAATTAACATCCTATAACTCTTTTCATATTTGTTCATATGCAGTTTATATATTGTATGAAATACGTTTGTGTACAGATGAATAACATTTTTACATTCCTTTTGTATGTATGACAGTTTTCTATGTATTATAAGAGTGATTACTGGGTAAAGGATTGGCTGGGTGCTGGAAACCTTTGCCAATATTTTTTCAAAAACTTTCTGTAACATTTTTTTTTGGTCGAATGAAAATAAGTAGCAGTGTAATGAAGATTTTCTATAAAACTGATAAACATTCATTTTAAAATATATTCCAGCTTTAAGTCTTATTAGCAAATTAAAAGAGAAGTTAATGCAGCTGTTTATATCAGTATCTAAACTATTTCTAACAAATGAAATAATCAACAGAAACGCTGCACATTATTTATGTGGTGGAGAGGCATTGGAATATAGCTATAATAACTCATGAAAACAGAAAAGCATAAAACATGAATTCATGCAGAAAATGCAATATGAATATTGTAAAGAAAAATTTGTAATGTGGAATAAAGATTATGAATCCTTAATTAGTAAGGCATTTTTATATTTTGAGGCTTTAGCATAAAAGTTTTGTGCCTGAGAATTGAAAATTTTTATAGAACATTGTTTTTTCCTCTTATTAGTGGATATAAATTCAGTATTTAAATCATTGTATCAACAGACCACAAAGGTATCAATTAGTTTGTCTCAACAAGATTGAAAATCAGTGGTTATATTACAGTCTTCTAGAATCTGTCAAAGCTCTGCTTGTTTAAAATTGAGAAAAATGTTTATCCTTAGAGTGCCGTATCATTTAAAAATATTATCTGATACCAGCTTTACCCACAGCTTCGCTCGTGTTCATGTCCTTAAGTTTCAACTGCGCATTGATTTTAAAAAACACACCTCGTAAAATTTCAAAATAAAGAACATTCGAGCACCTTAAAATGATTGAAACAAAATTTTTTATCGCACACAGTAAAATGTAAATGCAATTTTCAAGCAACAATAACAGAAATGTATAGCACGAATGAATAGATCTTTAAAATAAATACAAAATAAAACTTTAAATATATCACAAAAGTCGAAATGTTGATAATAGTTTCAAGCCGGTAAGTTAATTAGAAGTTATTAATTTTTAAAGGATTTTCCACGTGTAAATCTGTGAACTTTTCGCCAACCCAATAGTCGACCAGATACCAGCTCCCCCTTTCTCCGTCGCTTTCGAATTGCAGCCTGTCAACAAACAGTTAACAATAGCGAGCAGAGTATTGTTTTATCTGTGATTAAGCTGGAAATAATTAAGCTACAAAAACAGTTACGCCACCATTGTTCCTATCATTCAGAGAGCGACACAAGTTTCTAAATTTTGAGAAATTGGATAATTAGATCAAAAGTTATAATTTTTATCACCAATTTATTGGACCCACACGAAAAGACTGAAGAAAAAAATCGCTAATGTCGCTACTGAGTCACATTCAGATTAGCGTTTTCAGAGTTTTTCATTAATATCTCAGCTGATTAGTCTTATGAAGATGAGAATGGTATCGATGGATTCCGACGAATTTTTGGAATCAGCGGATATGTGTCTCAAAATTCAACTAACCGCCGTTCCATAGATTTGTGAAAGTATAAATTGGTGCATTTCCAAATCCCTTTGATAGGGAAACATTCAACAAAGTAAGTGAAAAATGTAGGGGAAAAGTAGTTTTTAATTAATATCTTGGCTAATTAAAGTTGTACGAAGACATTTTATAGCCTATAACCTTTGCTATAAAAAATATTTCTTGAAAATTTCATGATGATCGGTTAAGTAATTAAGGCGTGAAAGCATAACAAACAAACTCACATTCGCATTTATAATATTAGTAAAGATGGTGTTTCTTGTTTAAGGAACCAGATTCTGATTTTTGAAGATTAGCTTACATCACACAGTTTCTCAAAATGCATCATCTTTGTTTTAAAATTAATGCCAGTAAATATAAGATCTTGCTTAAAGAGTATCATCTGCTGCATCTAAATTTTGTTTATCTATTGAATAATTAATCATATGAAGTAAGAAAATTGCTTTTACATGTCTCCAAATTTTAATAATTTAATAGCTGATTGCTGTAGGTGGTGTTGTTTTGCACATTCACAAAATCTAAATTAAATCCTTTTGAGATCATCTTAATTCACAGCTATTGGAATATGCAGATTGGGGTTTGTGAATTGGCAAGGAAAGTATCTGCTATATATACATATATTCCGTACTCTGAAATGTGAAACTCTATATTTGTGTGCTTCCTTCTGATAAACATTATATGTTTTTTTTTTTTTTTTTTTTTTTTTTTTTTTTTAAACAGCTGCATAAATTTCTGTCTATCTGTTTGATATGGCATGTTCTAATCTCTCACATTTCATTTTGCTGCTACGTTTCAAATTTTCATTTATGCTACATGTGAAAACTAATTTATCATGCACATTTTTCCACAGTTTTTAATCTTGACACTGTAAAATCTGTTGGAAAAGCAATGAGTTTTGAAGAAATTTAAAGTAGAGGAATCTTAATCTTTGATATGTCTTTCTAAGCACTCTAACAATTGGAATACAGTTGGCATTTTGATTAATAGTTTATATTAACTATGAATTTCTTTCATTTTTTTTATTCATTATGGATTGGTATTTAAATTTAGAATATTAAGTAAAATAAATATTAAACTGTCAAACTGTAAAATCATAATTATAATTAAGATATATATTAATTTAAAAGCCATTTGGAATTTCTGTTGTTAAAGTGTTAATATGTTAGCATTCCATTCTATGCATAAATCATGTGATTAAAATTTCAGAATGAATTTTTTTAATTAGTGATCACAGTTAAAATATGCGTTTTTTTTTTTTTTTTTTTTTTTTTTTGTTATGTAATTACAAAAATCAGAATAATTGTCTTGTCTTATTTTTATATTAAAAAAGGCTAATCCTAAAAGTAAGTGCATATTCTATATTGTATTGTTAACAGTCATTTATTTAAAATTATGTTTTGGATACATTTTCCAATTGCATTGATCAGCATTTTTAACACATTTATATACTTCTAAAATGTATCAGTAGGAAAATAATTTCACTTGTCTGTTTAAAAAATTTTTGAAATAAGACCAACTGTGTGTTCTAATTTTTTGGAAATTTAGACTTTCAATAAAATAGTTGAACAATAATTGGATTTTTTTTTTTTTTTTTTTTTTTTTTTTTTTTTTTTAAATTTCTGAAGAGGTTTTACTAAATAAACCAGCATCACTTTTGTAGTCATAAAATTTCTAAAATAAATTTTTATGAGCACTTTTAAGGGGGTTATCTTTCCATTATGATAAAGATGAAATAGATTTATTTATTCATCAATTTTGCTGTATGGGGAAACAAAACCAAAAAAGTTTTATCTTCCACATAGTGTGCACAAATGTATAATATGTATGTGATGGGATGATTGGAGAATAAGTGCAATGGACAGCAATGATTTTTTGCCTGGTAATCACTTGGAGAGGCTTTACTGCATATCTTTTCTGTTCAAACAGAAGGAATATGATATGCAGTTTATCATTATCATTATACAATTATTTATTATTCACTTTATTTGAGTAAGCTCTTATCAGTGCAAGAAGCTGTTGCATAGTATGAATACTGTGATTTGTTTTAAAAATTTAGTCAGCCTCACACTTTCCTGTATGCCTTCAGGGCCTAACTCTGAAATTTTGCATGCTGCGTTTTGCTATTTCATAGTGTATTTTTATTTAGGCTATAATTGCATCCAAAAAAGAAATCACAAATGTGATGTCTAACGAGCATAATTGCCAGTGTTGTTACCATGTTGTAATATAAAGATTCGGGGAAGGGGGCTCCTCTGGCCATATATGGATGTGTTTTTCTTATGTAAGGCATATTGCATTAATGTGTTTTTGTTGTGCAAGGTGTTAAGGCATATTAAGGTATTAATATTAGCAAATATGACATTTTGTTTCATCTGTTTGTGAAGTAAATGTGCACATTATTTCTGTTACCTTTGTTATCCCCATTTTGAACTGGAGAGTTTCTACCAGATTTTGTACAGCATAAAATAACTTCCAGTTTTAGTAACATAACTATAATTAATACTTAGTGGGAATAATTTACAACTCAATTCATTCTGTAGTTACTTCCAAAGAATTTAAAGGTTTTATGAAAACTCATTTTCTCAACACCTCAACTTAATTATGTTATGAGTGCAATTATTCACCAATTTAATAACTATATAGTTTTGCAGTGACACAGTATTATCTTTGACTTTCGCTGAGCTGCTCAGAGCCTTCTTGTTTTTGCCAATTTTTTTTTAGTTTTTTCGCCATTGCCTTAGCCATTGTATAAAAGTTTGTTGGTTCTTTTATCAAGAAGCTCCAACTGTCAGTCTGAGTACTTTGACGGATGTTTGAGTGCCTCCTGTTGCACAGTGGTTGCACATTTGAACAGTTGAAACAGTTATGTAGGTCTGTGTATAAGAAGACACGCAATTTCTTCAAAAATTCTGCCACCTTTTTTCCTGGAAAGGAAGGAAAAGATAGCATTCGAAGATAATTTGTAGAACTTAGAATTAACAGTGTGATGCTGGAAGTGTAGGTAGTGGTATGTATAGTAGTATGTATAGTGGTATGTATAGTATATGTAGCTCTAGTAGGTAGTGGTATGTAAAACCGTAATTTGTAATGAACCTGCATTTTCTGTAAATGAATTGTATGTTTTTATTACTCTTAAGAAGAGTATTTTTTCTTGCCACGTAACATGACTCAGTAGAGTTTGTTTTACTGATTGTAATTTTTCAATAATTATTGAGTTCGTTGTGCAAATTTTTATCTGGAAAACGATGTTAACTTAAATTTTGGGAGCTGTCTGTAAGTGACAAAATTTTGATGGTATTCTGTGCCTCGTAGATATGTGGCAAGAGATTGTTGAAAGGATTTGCTCGCAGTGGTTCTCGGACTCTTGTATTGTTCCATTTTGTGGGTAAGGTTGATAAACTTGTTTATTAACATATGATGTGAATTCTTCGATGGGTACTTTCATATTATAGTGACTCCCAAGATTGAATCGCTAATTAACCGAGATATCTCACCACCATATTAGCATCACGTTTCATTTTTGTTAAGGGTTCCAAATTTGTGTTAGTTTTTTTAATTTTATATATATATATTATTATTATTATTATTATATTATTTATTTATTTATTTATTTATTGCTTTTTGTGAGTATACGGTTAGCAATCTTTAATTTACCAAATAAAGTCGATACCATGTCATACCTGACGAGCCAGTATGCAAAAAGGGCCACAACATGAAACTGCAAGTATATGTTAACGATGAAACCATTTAAAGATGTAATGTTAAAAGTTTTAGGAGGAAGAAGGGCCTCCGTGATGGAAATTGGTTCAGTGGTTCAAGACTATCATTCGTCACTGCTATTAGATTTATGAACTCTTGGGCAGAGTTGTCATCCAACAATATATGTGAAAATGCTGCAAATGATTGGAATAATAAAATG